CTAAAGTCTGGTTTGTTAGTTCTTCTTTTGGTCGTGTTGGCCTCCATTTCCATCTCTAAAAATAACACTGCACTCCCCAAGCCGCTGAGATCTGGGAACAAAGCTACACCGCTAAAAATAAGTCGGACAGGGCAAGAAATCCCATGTTTGGCTGAATTTGTTTGGAAGAGAAAAATGAAGGCAAACTCTCTGCGAACAGATCGACTTTTAGGGTCAAGAAAAGCCCCGTGCAAAGAGCTATTGTTAGTGAAATGTTGATGTGAAGAGGTTCATCTTATTCAACTGTTAGCTTTTTTACAGACTGAACTGGTTTCCTGAACCATCTGTCGTCTGAAATGATTCTATATTCCTAGATTTTTACAGTTACAATCAACATACATACATTTCTGGGCACTAGAATAACAAACAATGTTAATGTTAAAGGTCACCTGTTATGCAAAATCCTCTTCTTCATGTCTCTTCTACATCAACATGTGTCCCCTCTTCTTCATGTCTCTTCTACATCAACATGTGTCCCCTCTTCTTCATGTCTCTTCTACATCAACATGTGTCCCCTCTTCTTCATGTCTCTTCTTCATCAACATGTGTCCCCTCTTCTTCATGTCTCTTCTACATCAACATGTGTCCCCTCTGTGTAAAGAGACTCTGAAAGTTTCAGGAACAAAGATTCTCTCTCTTTTTGTCCTGATCCATTTCTATAAAAACCTGTCTGAAAATGAGCTGATCAGATTTTGGCCACTTTATGATGTCATAACGATGTGTTGTCTTGTGTAACCATTAGCCAATCACCAACCAAGGTAACCCCCACCTTATCACCTGAATCTCCTCCTAGAGCACCATTGTGTTATTTGTAACCAAATCTCTCTCAGAGGGGCGTGGGGAGGGGCTCCTTATTTTCATCTAAAGTAACAGACAGAGAATCAGCACTTTTGAAACAGGGCTGAAACAGAGGGGATTATGGGTAATGCTGCAATGATCTGTTTGGTGATTGGAGCCAAACACTTCAGAGACAGGTTTTGTATATATCTGAGACCTGTAATAAAGTATAATAGGGAACCTTTAAATCACGTGTCACTTGTTAGACGCTTTCATCCAAAGCAACACAAACACTCAGTCCTGTGGACGATCCCCACAGGAGCAACCTGAGGTGAGGTGTCTTGTCCAGGGACTCAACAACATGCCCACTGAGGCTGTGGCTCACAAACATCGCATACATGTGAGATCATTGGGATTTCATCCTTAGCATTCATTTGGAGTCTTGATTGTGATGAGTCCTTCTGAGAAATAGTTGAGTAATGACTTCTCCACTGACTAGATGCTCCATCCATTAGTTCACCAGGTAGTCGCTATCCTGTCTTTCTGCCGTTTGGCCGAGAGGACACAGAGGGTTTGTCAAAGCTTCGCTGATGAAAACAGCTTCCTGGTCTCATTGAGAGTGAACCAAAAGTCAGCGGGCCAAATCAAATGAAAGCAGTGGGCTGAAAGTGTCCTTAAAGCTCCTTAAAACGGAGGACTGCTGCAGATCATTGTCATGGGATGCATTGTTGTTAGGGCTGTGCGATTATGGCAAAATCATAATCACGATTATTTGGGTCAATAATTGATATCACGATTATTAAATACGATTATTCATTGAATTTGAAAAAATCAATTTATTGAACTTTAAAACAAATACAAATAATAATTTGAACAGTATCTGTTTAACTGTTGATTACCCTGAACGTATAATTCAACTGAAAAACCAATACAAAAATAAATGATACATTTAAATAAATAATATCAAAATAATAAATACCAATAAACAAGATCAACAAATATTTTGGAGCGCACTTCCACAAGCTACTAAACATATGTAAATATGATAAATAAAAATTAATGAGATCAAATATGTTCTAGTGCACTGTCACAACCTAGCAAAGCAAAATAATTGTTTTTTTCGATTATGTTGTTTTCGTAATTGTGGCAGGCCAAAATCGTAATTGCGATTAAAATACGATTAATTGCACAGCCCTACTTGTTGTTGTAAAAAGTATTTACAGCTGCTTCAATCTTCAAGTTGATCAAAGTGTTTTCACATTGGAGGTCAACAATTCAAAATGCATCATCATGTTGCTCTGGATGAATTTGCAAACAAGTACAAATGAGTGATTGCCGGCTAAAGCATTTATTGCAGAACTTAAAGGTTACAAATCACAGTGGAAATCTTCTTTACAAGATTGAACTGCAGTTGGACATCATTCTCCAGAGTTGTAAATCACCGTCGAGCAATTAAACACGACGTTCTGCTTTCCCTGACCTTAAAGAGTGAACAGAGTGGACAGCATGCAGGCATATGATCAGAAGACTCATCTGCAAATCAAATGCGTGGCTGTGTGTTCCCGCTCCTGCATGTCACCCAGACTTACAGCTATAGATTGACTATAAAACTCAAGAGGCACTCCCTGAATTCTCATTTATTTTGAACTCCTTGACTGATATTATCTCCAAACTGGCAATGCAATTACAGAGGCCCTGCCATCAATAGTGGATTCCAGCAGAGCAAGCATGACAGAAATCCACTTATTCCGTCTAGTATTGATGTCAATTTACTGTTTCATTACAACTAGAGCTTATGGAGCTGCACATGATCACAACTGAATGAGCATCTTGTTATGGGACCTCAACGCACGTTTGGATCCACAGCAGATAAATAATGCATCAGATACAATGCGTAATCGTGCACATACGCTCAGCAGAGACACCAGCACAACAAAGATAGCGATGGATTAGGTGTGAGGGTCTTCTTCTGATGCATATGTATGAGTTGCAGCAGGTTCACAGAGAGCGAGGAGTTGTGGAGTCCTTCGGTGATGATGCTGACTGCAAATCCAGTTCATCATGGCTTTAGAATGATGTCCTTTTTTCTTCTGTTAGAAAAATCTCACTGGTCACCGGCTTCAGTTTCAATAATCAGGATCCATGTATTTATTATCCTCTCCAGAATGGAAGTAGTCATCACAAGATTTGGTACAACTAGTTCCTGAACAGAGAGGGAGTTACAGTCACAAGATGGAGGAATACCGGTTCAAAGCAGTATTCTATGCTTAGTTCAGATTAGCTAAGGCCTGCGTAAGAAATAAACATGACAGTCATATGCCTATCTCCCTAGGGTCATCATATGTAATCGTTGGAACAAAGCTATCGTATGTTCAACACAGTGTCTCTTAAGCTTCTTCTAGGTAATCATACATCCTGTAACGTACACAGCTATACTGTATGTGTAGTATGTGCTATATACTCTGATATTGAAAAAGTACATTCAGTATTTTCCCAACAACTTCATAGTGTATATTTAAAACTATACGATATTAGATAAGATACTGCATGATACAATCCTACATATCTAACAGGTACGTCACTAGATGTGCACGACGGGTATTTTATATAACACACATGAAAGCATGACTTGTTTTCTAGATGGCTTACCCTGAACGTCAATTTTTAAGTTAAAGGGGACCTATCATGCAAAATGCACTTGTGTACGTCTTTTATACATGAATATGTGTCCCCGGTGTTCCAGGGAACTCACCAAGTGTCAGAAAACACAACCCTCTCTATTTTCCTCCATACCCAAATCTCTAAAAAAGGGGCTGCAACGGATCTGATAAAAACTGATCCAGATTTGAACACTGTCCTGACGTCAGGACGGTGGCGCTACGGCTATTGGGCCAACTCCACCAATCAGGAGGAGACAGCCACGGCCATTGCCGTTCGAAAGCGCTGGAGACGCTGTAGTACATATGCCAGACCTGTAGATGGTGCTGTTCTCACTGAATCAGCCCAGAGCTAGAAAATGTCAAATTGAGCAAAATGAGGCATGGCTAAAATGCATGATCTGTTTGGTATTTTGAAAAAAAAAAAGTATAAATATGCCTTATATAGGTATGGTCCTACACTATATTATTCAAATATAGCATGATAGGTCCACTATAATATCTAAACTTTTAAGCATAGTTTCTTCTTTACACATTCACTGTTTATTTGAGTTGCTTTTATGGCCATCTGTTGATATATTTAACCTCATTTTAACCCCCTAGCTTTAACAGCGTTGTGCTTTATTGTGTTCATCAGCTTGTTACTATCTTTGATCTCTGTCTTTTGTGTGCTGAGTGGGTAGCGTACAGCGTTTTGTTTGAAAACAGCTGCCTGCATGCTGCTGCAAAACACTAGGCTTTGAGAGCGGAGAGAGTGATCCAAAAGTAATTTTACAAAAGCAGGTTGTTAAACCAAAGCATGAAGGCTCTGTAGAGATCAAAGTAACTGCAGAGGCCCGGATGATATCTTTCACTTGTATCGTTTTGAGGTTGAATGTTAATATAGAAAATATTGATTAGAGCAGACAAAATGTTTGGCCTGTCCTTGCTACCTTGTGCTTGGATCTCTAAAGAAACAGATTGTGTTGATGATCAGTGAAATACTTACAAGATACAGTATGTACAAAAATGATGGTGCTAATCTAATCTTTGGGATGCTCATAATGTTTTTGTGTTTGCGAGGTGTTGATACCATGTGCTTTGTCCTGTCGCTTGACTTGTATTGTGTTGCGCTGCATTATACATCGAGTCGATGTTATTGTCATTCAACCATCCTCAAAGGACTCTCCGTCTCCTCTAGGGATTGCTGCAGTTGCTAAAGTTAATGAATGAGAAAAAGCGTTAATGTTTTTGGGGTTGAAACTGAGAAACTATGACTCTGCGAATAGTATTGATCAGGGAAATGTCTGCGTCAGGTGAAACACTTGGAGCCTCACCAACCTCATCCTCTCTTAAGTTGTGCTCTGGCTCGCAGTCAGACCACGAGGACGGCTGGAGTACTTTCACACCCGCCGGTGGAGGTTAAATCCCACCAGCTTCCTCCATCTGCTGACAGCTCATTTGCTAAAATACCTCTTTGCTAAAATGATCCTTTTCTCCCCATCCCTCACCCTTCCCTCCCTGCCTCCTCCCCTCTCAACATCACAGGTGTAACGCTGTCTTTAGCCTGAGGGGGGCAGAATGCCGGAGCAGAGCAACGACTATCGTGTGGTGGTGTTCGGGGCGGGGGGGGTGGGGAAGAGCTCCCTGGTCCTGCGCTTCGTGAAAGGCACCTTCAGGGACACCTACATCCCCACGGTGGAGGACACCTACCGCCAGGTGATCAGCTGCGATAAGAGCGTGTGCACCCTCCAGATCACGGACACCACGGGGAGCCACCAGTTCCCCGCCATGCAGCGCCTTTCCATCTCTAAAGGCCACGCCTTCATCCTGGTGTACTCCGTCACCAGCAAGCAGTCCCTGGAGGAGCTCAAACCCATTTACCAACAGGTGGGTGGATAAGTGTCTAGACCAGGGGTGTCCAAACTGCGGCACGCGGACCATTTTGAATCCGCCCTCATTCAGCAAATTAAAAAAGTATAATGACTTAAAGTGGACCTATCATGCTATATTTAAATAATATAGTGTAGGACCATACCTATATAAGGCATATTTATACTTTTTATTTTTCAAAATACCAAACAGATCATGCATTTTAGCCATGCCTCATTTCGCTCAATTTGAAAAATGTTAGCTCTGTTTTTGCAAGGGCAGATTCTGTGAGAACAGCACCATCTACTGGCCTGGCATATGTACTACAGCGTCTCCAGCGCTTTCGAACGGCAATGGCCGTGGCTGTCTCCTCCTGATTGGTGGAGTTGGCCCAATAGCCGTAGCGCCACCGTCCTGACGTCAGGACAGTGTTCAAATCTGGATCAGTTTTTATCAGATCCGTTGCAGCCCCTTTTTTAGAGATTTGGGTATGGAGGAAAATAGAGAGGGTTGTGTTTTCTGACACTTGGTGAGTTCCCTGGAACACTGGGGACACATATTCATGTAGAAAAGACGTACAAAAGTGCATTTTGCATGATAGGTCCCCTTTAAGTATAATAAACTTCTGCTTGTCCTATATTGTACTTCTTGAATATATATGTTACAAGGTATTCATGTGTTAGTTAGCCCAGTTTTTCAAATAAATTCAGTCAATTCAAGTTGAAAACATGTTTTAACAAATCTAAGTTGATAAGAAAAAAGCCCAATAATACATTTACATAACCTTGAAATATACCCTTCATATTTGCTCTTATTATAATCAATGTGAAGCTTCTGTTTTAAGGAATGAGCTGCAACACAATAAATGAAACCCCTTAGAATACAATTGAATGTGTGGATGAATGTCCATAACCTCTTAATGGGAGGGTCGTTTGAATTACATTTTTTATAGCATTTTCTGTAAGCATCCTTAATCCCAAAAGGAATGTAATGTTTAAAATAAATGTGGTGGAGTACACAGCTCAGTATTTCCCCACTGACATGTATTTGAGTAGAAATCAAAAGTACCTCAACTGTAAAGAAGTACAGTACTTGAGTCAATTAACTCCATCACTTTCTACCACTGGAAGCACAATACAGAAAACCCCCGAAAATGTACATTTAAAATAAAACACGGATAAATAAAAAATACATTTATGATGTGACATTTGGTTGAATAAAATAGGAAGAAGTAACATTTCGTGTCTCCAGATGTAAAGATGTTGATACATTTCGGCAAATATTCTTATCCGATGTTAAATCAATCGGTTTTAAAATGTAAATAATGTATGATGTGAACATCCCAGCCAGAACTTAACAGGTGTCTCTTATGTTCTTCTTCCTCCTCTGCAGGTGTTGGCCATAAAGGGAAACGTGGAGGCCATCCCCATCATGCTCGTGGGGAACAAGAGCGATGAGACCCTTCGGGAGGTGGAGACCAAGGACGGAGAAGCCCAGGCCAACCAGTGGAAGTGCGCCTTCATGGAGACGTCGGCCAAGACCAACCACAACGTCACGGAGCTCTTCCAGGAGCTCCTGAACCTGGACAAGAAGAGGAACATGAGCCTCAACATTGACGGGAAGCGCTCGGGGAAGCAGTCCCGCGCCGAGAGACTGAAGGGAAAATGCAGCGTGATGTAAATGGAGGAGGTGGAGGTGGAGAGAGGTGGGGAAGAAATACAGAGAAAAGGGAAGTAGAGAGAGAGAGGAAGGACTCACTAAACGTATCCTCGGAGCAAAATGTTACGAAGGTGTAACGGAAATCTCATCATTCACCTCTGTTTGACCCAATCACTACCACAGCTCTCAGTTTGGAGCTTTACTGTACATCAATGTGCATTCTGTGGAACGGAGAAATGAGCGCAGAATATCCAGAGGCACATTTCAAACAAGAAGTACGTGTAGCATCATCCAAGCGGTCACAAAACCTGGCTGTGGATCTCAGCAAGACCTTGGACTGCAATGACTACAAGAGACTGCAGCAGCAACAACAAAAATAAGTTATTCAAAAAAATAAAATGTCCTCTCTCACTTCTTCATCCGAGCCCGTCCTCCCTACTCAGCTCACACCGCTCGTCACCCCTCGCATACTCCCCTACTATAACAAATATAGAGAGACGTAACGTAATTGTAACAGAGTCGATAAACTTAGTTAAACTCACTCTTCTTGTGGAAACTCCATATGACGAGCTCAAGGTGTCTGTCGTGCTGGAAAAGTACAGGTGTGATGATACTGTTAGCATGAATGACATTAGCGCACCCAGCTACATCCCAGAGCAACTCCTGAGGACTCTGATGTATATAAACACGGGATATTTCAATATATTCCATCTAAACACACGCCCTGCACATGAGTAACAAGTCAAAGGGTGAGGTTTGAAGCATTAACGCTTAATCTCCTCGTCCTCAGCCTCTCTCCAGGAACATTAAAAAAAGACCCTTATTATTTATCAAGAAGTCATTCTACTAAAAACTCATCCACAAAATGTCTTCATCTGAAGTGGAGGAGCTTCCAGCGGACACGCTACTGATACGACGCAACAATCCTTTTAAGACTTTCATTTAGTACAGAAAAGCTCTGGAGGAAAAGAAGCTGGACACTCGTCACACACAGGAAACAGAAAATCAAGTCTGCCTTGTCTACGAGGATGATACACTCGGATAATCATTGCCGAGACTAAGAGGAAGGTTTTTGGTCCTGAGGTCAAGAATGTCAGTTTACTTTGGCACCTTCCACGTGAAGGTGTCTCTTCTTTTGCCTTTTTTATTCTTGGTTGCTATCTTTATGAACCTTTATATAGTCATGTCAAAGTCAGAAAAGCCCCCCTTAAACAAAAAAGCACACAGATAATTAAATAACTAAATAAGGGATAAATGTAAAATGGTGGCATACAGATTATTTAATGTGACCTGAATCGGTAAGGAAACAGAATGAGTCACTCACACACACACACACACACACACACACACACACACACACACACACACACACACACACACACACACACACACACACACACACACACACACACGCGTCAAAAAAAGTCTGAGTATCACTGTTGACTGACTACATGAAGACAAGCGGCGCTCAGCCTCAATGCCCTCACATTGCACTTTCTATCATAAACACACACACACACACACACACACACACACACACACGACTGTAATTGTTCATGTTGTTGCCTCTGTTATGTTTAAATGATCTCCGCTTAACTCAGAATATCCTCCTGGAGCTCTGCTGTATGTCCAAAGTGCATGTTTAAACCTTTTGTTCCTACGCAGGAGCTCTGAATATTGTACACAGTATATACACACGGGACAGCCAAAAGCACAATACTTTTTTAACTGCATATCGTTTCTTTTTGTATTTCCTTTTTGTACGTTTTTTTTTCCTTTTATCCGTATCCTCTGTGTGGATTTTCATCTTTCACATGTATCTGAACACGGAGGAAACAGTCATGATCACCGGTATCTCCTTCGTCTGTAGATGTAAGTGTTGTCATGTGTCCGGTACATGGCACAATGAGGTTGTGGTTCTGCTGAACAACAGGGTTTCATGATGTGACCGTTAGCTGTGGTAAAGATGTGACGTAACCACACAGTCGAATGGGAACGCAGACAGATTATATGCCTACTTTTCTCCGTCTCTCAGGCGGTTTTAACAACAATCTGAGTGGAGGATAATCTGCTCTTGTTCTGTTAAACCCAAAGACGCAGATTATGCCTCATTTGAACTGTGTGTCCGTCTCTTCTGGACAAAACAAAAGCACAGCAACTGTTTCCATCCGTCCTCCTCCAGAATCAAGAACTGGGCACTTTAGGGTGACATTTGACTTGAAGACTTGCTTATTAATCAGCGATGCCTCATTTATAAGCACCATGTAAAATGTCCCTCCTGCATTGTTCACGCCCACATCAAATAACAACTTCCAACAGTGTTGTTATTGTAAATAAAGCATACGGTAGTTGAATGACATGTTTATAAGAGCTTCAAGTAAGATGTTACCCATGTAAAGAAAACCTGTCTTTCTGGGAATAAGTCCTTGAGGTAGTTGTTACAGTACATTTTCTCTTGTGAAAAACTAAGTCTTAGTTTGGCCATAGTTATTTAATATATAAAGACTATATATTATTGAATTACAAGATTAGATATACTTCATTTGATCTAAAATATTGATGTGTTCAAATGCTCTTCTAAACAAAACTGAAAGTCCATGAAAAGCTGTCTTCCTGTTTTTGTGAATGAAGCGCCATCTCCTGGTTAAATCCTGAAATTGAAAATCTGGCAACGCCCTCTTGGAAAATAGTGGGAGGGCTTAACATTCCCAGATACTGGTCTTTGGCAGGTCTTAGGCAGGTAGCTGGCAGGTAGCAGGCAGGAAGCAGTAAGCTGGAGTCTGAAATAAGATGCTCCATCTGTAGAAGGTTTGATGTTGCTATTTACGGTAGTTTACAGCTTAATAACGACGCTCATGATATATTTGACACATCCACTCTTCAGCTATACCAATCAGATAATACTAGCGACGTGTGAATATGTAACTAAAGGTGCCACTCCATGGCCGTTTCTGTTTTCTGAATGAATCAGTTATCAATGTGTTGTCCTTTGCACTAATGTGAGGTCCTCCTAAACTCCTAAACGTTGCATTGTAAAAACGTACCCTTTACATGTTAGATGCCAGGGATGCTCACTCTTACCATCAGTTTATAGTTTAAACAACTTGTAATTGACATAGTTTGTCCTGGCTTGTTTTAGATGCCAGAAGGATGACGTGATTTCTGTCTGATGTGTCCTTCAAAAAGGTTAACAAGCTCGAAATAATATCTGTTTATCTATCAGACAGTTGGCCTGATCTGATGTGTTGCTACCGGCAGTAATGGTGCACACGCTGCATAAATATGAGCTTGACGCATCTGGTAGGTTAATGCAAAACGCCAGCTTGCGAGCGCATGTTTGTGCAATCTGTTGTTCTGCTGACGTCTACAGGAGGCTGTCCATGTCCCTGCGTGGAATACGATACAGCAGGCAGAGAAAAACAATGAGACAGCGCGTGATAGCGGTATGGACAACAAGCTGGAGTGAGAGGCTGTGCCATTAATAGGAATAGTGTAGAAATATTGAGAGCGCTTACTAACTAGCCTGTGTAGGATTCAAATGTGCATGTGAGGAGGCGTGCATGGGAAGTGTGTGAGCGTGCGTTGTGTTTCTTGGGCTGTGTGAGTTAAATGCTGGCATGAATCAGGACAGACACCTCTGCCCCCGTGCTCCCATCGCTTGTCTCATCTTATTTATCAATGAAGCATATTCACTGCTGCCGTCTGTGTGGAAGCCCACGAGTGCATCCAGGTATCTGTCCAATTAGCCACCTATCTGCTTTCCTTCACTCTGGGGTGTGTGTGTGTGTGTGTGTGTGTGTGTGTGTGTGTGTGTGTGTGTGTGTGTGTGTGTGTGTGTGTGTGTGTGTGTGTGTGTGTGTGTGTGTGTGTGTGTGTGTGTGTGTGTGTGTGTGTGTGTGTGTGTGTGTGTGTGTGTGTGTGTGTGTGTGTGTGTGTGTGTGTGTGTGTGTGTGTGTGTGTGTGTGTGTGTGTACACATGTGTGTACACATGTGTACATGCTTTGGAGGATGCCTACTAATTTCTGCATGAGTCATCTAGAATTGTTCACACACACACACACACACACACACACACACACACACACACACACACTGCATGCCCTTAGCTGCACATGCACACTTATACACGCATATTACTCTCACACACAGTCCTTGTCAGTGAAGCCTCATTCTCTCTCTGGCTGTTTTCCGCTCTGAGCTGTCAGCATTACTTCTCCATAAATCAGCTGTCCGACCCCCTGAAATCGTGACTTTACTTTTATATAATACCTCAGTTTCTTTTGTGTGTGTGTGTGTTGTGAGTCGGTTGCACTAGAACAGACGGGAGGCCAACCCTGCTCACTCCTGATTGTAGATAGTTGTAAATAGTGTTCAAAGGACTTCATATTTCAGAGAGGAGAGTGTGCAGAGGAAAGGATGCCGTGGTGGGAAGGTGCCGTCACCTGTGTCTCCTTATTGTAGTCAAAGTGTCCAATTCGAAATGACACAGCAACGCTTGCAAAGTGTTCGACAGAGGCGAGCTTCTTAACCAGCTTTATTCAAAATAAGCTACAACTGCAAGTAAAACAGCTTTTGACTTTAGACGGGGTAATCTATAGAAGCCCAAAGTGACCAATATTCTATTTGAAATGAACAATCATGACCAAATACAGGCTTTATAAGGTAATATACGTGAAATTCTGAAATATTGCAATAATGATTTACTCATTTATTTAATGTTAAACATTGGATCTCCATAGAAATCTACATTGACAGCTTTTGTCCCAGTTTCTGATTAGGACCAGGCAAAGTTTACGTCACCAGGTACTGGGTACGTACTGGTCATGTTGCATAAGAGCATGTTGTTGTACAGCAGAGGAAGTGTGGATCACACGTGTGTTTTTTCCATAGCAGGGTGGGAAACATGATGCTCAAACGAAGGGCAGCTGGTTTATCTAAATACAAAGAAATGTTTGTTGTGTTCTAGTCTAACTCCATAAACTCAATCCTACCAACGGGGGCAGGTTGACGTCCTGTTGAGTCGAGCTAAGGGTTGGAGGATCTGACCCCATTAACCTCTCCGCCTCACCCCTTTACGTCTTGTCTGATCGCCTTAGATCCTCACAAGCTGTTTTCTGAAGCGGCATACAGTGGGGCATTTAGACTCTGTGGGTAAAGTAGTTTGGTACTATCCTGTCGCTCTGGCCGTTCATCCCTGCATGGTCCCTATTGGTGTTCCAGCCAGCATGAGAACAAGGACACAAACTGTGAATCATCTTTGTATTTTTTAAATAAATTCCTCAGCAGGATTTACGGCTTTGTTTTTAGCAAATGTTTCATTTCTTTTAAGCACTTGTTTTTTTGTGTAAATTATTCTTTTGGTTTATTTCCTTTTTTCTGTTGGGACTTTTTATTTTATTTAACCAATTATGATGTATAGATATTTATTCTAGCAATAGTCTTCCTATTAAGATATACTGTGCTGATGCATCCTCTGAATAACTGAAAATAGCATATATATAAATATATATATATATAGATGATAATAATAATCAAATCTGCAAAATGATTTTCCTAATAAAAATGTGAACTGAGGAGTGTTTCTTGTCTTCTTTATTTGTTCCTCTTGCTGGTGCATGACTCAAAAACGATTTGATAGATTCCCATGACATTTTGCAAAGGCGTTTGTCATGCCCCCATCATGAATCCTCATAACGTACAGCACTTGTTCCCCTGACTTTAAAGGGGCCTTATTTCTCTTGTTGGGGTTTCTCTTTCCTGTAGTTGTGTTATATTGGTTTTTGTGCATGTAAATATTCTGCAAAGGCCAACATCCCACTCACTCCCCACCTGCCTGAAATGCCTCAATTGGACTACTTTGATTACCTCCATTACATAGTGACATCGCTATGTAACATTTGGCTAGCCCTCCAACACATTGTACGTGACACGCTAAGCGGCGTCATCATTTAAAAACGGCTACAGTACATAATTCTTTAGACAAACATTTTTGAGTAACCTTCAGCTATTTGTATGCACTTTTTGATGCAAGGAGACTCAAAATAAAATGGAATTTGAAGGCCATTCAACTTCTCCTCGTGGTCAGTGAGGAACTGCTAGAGCAGCCTCCCTCTCTCCTGTCGTTACCTTCCAACACAGTCTCACGGCATTTCGTGTTATAGTCACGAAATTAATCTATTGATTTGCCATTTTTTTCGTGTCACACAGAACGATTTAAAAAGCAATGTAAATAATAACAAATTAGAAGGAAAAAGACATTTAAAAAAATACAGATTTCAGTATTCTGACACAGAACGATTTTAGAAGCAATGTATTTATATTGGTAGTATGTTTCGTGCCTGCACCAAATACTAACAAATTAGAAGGAAAAAAAGATGACATAAAATACAGATTTCAGTATTCTGAGGCTCTGAGCCCTCAGACATTATACAATTTAAAATAAAAGGGTTAGGCTTAGGGTAAGATATTGAGTAAGAACATGTTTTTATGAACCACACAGCTTCTGGTCTTCCAAGACCCGACCGGACAAAAAGACGTGTTGCAGGCACGAAACATACTACCAATAGAAATACATTGCATTTAAAATCGTTCTGTGTGACACGATGCTTGGGGATGCTGAGCCCAGTTGCTATGCAGACAGTGTGATGTTGACGCGCGAGGTGTGACCCTGCAGGGCACAAAGGCGCCTTACGACAGGTACAAGGCCTGCCGAGAGGTCGCTGGGGCGTAGATCCACGCAGAAAGGTGAACCCCTACTGGATCGCAGTGATGCTTCAAGCCATCCGGGGATGTCTAATGACCGTTTACTGCAAGGGGACAAAAAACGAGGGCGCATTTGAGTGGGAGAGCGTCTTTCAGTCGTGAGTCATGGGCTTCCACCGCTTTTTTCTCATAAAATGAAGAGCCCTGATGTAATTCACTGTAACAACACTGCCTCAACAACACACACGAGGGAGGGGGGGAAGGAGAGGAAACACAGAAGGTGAATAGGAGGAAGGAAGTGAGACAAATGGAGCAGGGAGAAGGAGAAAGAGGGGGCTAAAAGGTGAGGGAATGATGGAGAAATGTATAGGCATCAGCATAATTTCACACATCAGTGGGAATGAGGCCAATGCGGTACGAGTTATAAATAGCTTTCCTGTGGTTATAATAAGTAGGAGTGTGTTTCCATAGAGCTATGAGGGAAACTACGGCTGTGGAAGTAGAGTGTTTACCTTCCTCTTTGTCTCTGACATGCAGCACATGTATGTGCTATCCTACTCATTGGACCTTTCTGTGGCCCTTTACCGCAGAGAGAACCGTCCACATGCATCCCATGATAATGCAGCACTTTAAGCTCCAGCTCGTGGTGGCGTTGGGCCTGCCAGGAACAGCAGGAGCGGCCCACTCCTTCTCCGGGAGAGAAGAAACTACCGCTGGGTCATGGCGCCATCGTGTGGCAGCACAGAGTGGAGAGGAGACATTTTAATGTGAGGTGCACAGATTGACATAATATGCTTTCCATTATTAGTTAAGTCCCAACATATGATAATATAAAATGGGGCCTAGAAATGTTATCATTTTAGCAAAATATTTGATCCACAAATATTGCTGCCTCTACATTTCTCCAGTATTTATTGGTTCTCTTAATGACATTTAATTATACAACAAATCTATTGAATGTTGCAAAAGTAAAGAAAGCCCAACAAGTTCTACACACCTTAATTTCTCTCTTTCTTTTTTTTACTGTTTTCTTTCTATAATGCTCTCAGTTTGAATTAATTTAATGAACACTGATGTGATGAGCCTTTTTCTGATCTCTTTGAAAAAACTGTTCAATAAAGTTGGTCTGGTAAAGTTAAATCTTTATATTTATAAGAATTGACATAGATATGACATGGAAAAAAAAAATATATCATTCAGATTGGATCAAATAAAATACTTTAATGGAAAAAAATTCTGACAGATTTTATTATATTATTAGCAGGAATCTGACAGCTGTTAGTATAAAAACGATCAGAGATTCTATATATTCTTAAGAAGACTTTTAACTACTTCAAGCCATGCCACTACAGATCAAACGAGATTTTTTAAATCTTTCACAAAACTCATACACACTGAGAACATGCGGAGACATGAAGACTAAAGTATATTTAATAAGGCTTTCATTCATGGAGCTGTTACCCAAGTCTTTACGCCTCGAAAACTCACTACATTTACTGTACAGGGCTGCACATGGGTTCCCCAACCGAAAAATATGACTTAAAAACAATGAAAAAGATATCCATTAAATACCCTCTGGTGCTACACTCGGTTGATGTGTGTGTTTGTTTGGGAGCCCCTGGGTTAAAGGTGCTGTCATCGGATCTGATGGAGGGAGGGTGGAGGAAGAGGAGGAGGGGGGGGGGTAGAGGAGTGGACAGACACTGGTAGCGGAGGGGGAGGCGTTTGGATCGGCGAAGACGGGGAGTGAACCAGCAGAGAGGGTGAGAAAGCAGCGGATCTGGCCCTTTAAATCACAAATACAGCGCTTTCGGAGGTGAGTTGGGAGATATTCGGGTCTTTTTCTCCCTGTGTTTAAGAAATGTAACGCGTCTGTGTGCCTCTGCAACCCCTGCTTCTCGTCACCGAGGGCGGCTGCAGCGGAGAGGGGCTTCATCAGTGTCACGAATCCGGTTTTCCCCAGCCCTTTGCCGGCAGAGAGGGAGGGGAGGACCGGGGACAGGGTCAGTGGAAGATTTCCGACAGCTCGGCTGGACTGTGAGGACCCAGAAGCCACTGTGTCCAAAAAACCTCTGGATTGTACATGCTCAAAAAGGCCGTTTGCTGATCAATTAGCATAATAGCGGAACATAAAGTCATGCGCTCCATTCTCGTTGGATGAGTTCACATTGGCCACCGGAGATTGCCTCCCTCTAAACATGTCACCACCCTGCTCCCACGGATAACAACCGGGGCCTATTTGCAGACCTGAAGCTAGTCTGGTATTCACTTGGGGAAATATCTCTAGCTTTGATATGTGCACAAGGTCTGCCTGTGCTTGCGCGCACTGTGCGTATGCGTGTGTATGTGAGTGTGGATAGCCATGGGAGAGAGAGGACATGCTGTTCTCACCATCAAAATGCCCGCATTGTGTTTTCACACGGTAGAGCAGAGAGCAGGGCCTATAGCGGAGGACATGGTTCCGTACTGCGGCCCGATCAGCGCTCCGGAGCTGCTGGGATCAATAAGGATTGATGCATATTTGCGCGTCTTCAGAGCGGCTGTATGGGCTCCTGATCGGGGCCTGTCCAGTTCTGGTGATGCTTTGTGTCCAGGCCTTGACAAATAAACTGTTTACTGTATAGCCTATATGTTTGTCATCGGCTTTACATTGAAAACCAAATACATTTGAGGGCGTATGAGAGGAGAGATTTGACAGCGGAGGGGCAGAAACTTCTATTTGTGTTGGTTTGTAGGTGTAGGCTATGCTTCCTGCTTTCAGCATTCGCCATAGCAGAAAGTTTGAGAAATCAACAGGCTAAATAAAACAAGGCACTCAAAAAGACTTAGGCAAAGCGTCATTCTCACTTGTAGCCCCCTGTGCCTCCTGAGTTGTGTTGTTTTTATTGTTGATGCAAGTCAACAAATACTTTGACGTGTCCACATCAGCGCCATATGGTCCACATGTTGTAAGAAAAGGTGTTTGGCTTTTTTGAAGAATCAGATGAGGGTTTGACAACAAAAACTATCCTCAAATAAGCTTGTAGTTTTCATTTGTTAGTGTTCATTTCTGGTAGTTTTTTCAGGCTGTTGTCTGTGGACGTTATTTTGTTGCATAAGTGTTCGTGTGCACTTGTATTCAAATCAAAGTTCAGGACCCCACAGGGATAACATCTTGAGTTGAGTTTGAGCATGTGGTTGGGACTGTTTACTCATTTTAGGGTAGTTTCCAGGGTTGGGTGATAACCCCCTACTGACTGTTTGTTAATAAAAAGTATTCCAATATGAAACGTGTTATACAAGGGCCGATAAATACAAGTGTTGCTATTAAAGCATGCTATTAACGGAGCGTATAGTACAATAATATATGAGAGAAATGCAGCATCATTTGGTTTTATCTAAATAAATGTTTCGTCGGGCATGTTTATGTTTCCAGAAAGTGATATCACTTGACACTCCTCTTGCATCGATACTGAAATCAATACTTTGACATTATCGACAGCTTTATCTCCAGGGGATTATGGGGGTCAATTCAATGCTGCCAAAAACAAGTCTGCATGTGTGTGAGAAATTACAAAATGTGAATATAACCGACAGAAAGGAAAAAGGGGCTTAAGGGTCTACTTAGGGTTAAGATTTGGGCTCAGGGTGAAGATTAGTTTGAGGATTTAACTTATAGCGTCAGGATTGGATGTAATAGAAATGCAATTATACAAATGCATGTGCGCACACACATATGCACACACACACACACACGCACACACACACACACACACACGCACATGCACACGCACACACAAAGCCCTAATTACAGACATGATTCTCTGAGCTACTCCACAGTAGGAGTAATTAAAGCAGGACTCTCCTCCCTGGAGAGGGCGACAGACAGAGAGAGACAGTCGTAACACTCGATGTTATGCACTGAGGGAAACTTCTACGCTGTGCTAAGTGAAAGAAAGAAGCAGGAGGTTTATGAAGGTTTTTTTTTGTTAAATAACTCTATGACAGCACAGGTATAAATGGACCTCCTTGTTTGGATCGGAAATGCAGGGCTGTCCTATCTGATGGATTATAATGGTGTTACTGGTTTTGGTGACAGATGGCGTGATGTGAATGATAAGAAGATGATGATGACAGTTTGGCATTCAAGCAAGTTCCAATCTCATTATATAAAATAAATTATGAAAACTTGAACTACAATTTTATTTGTCCCGCTGAAAAGCACATTTCTGAGTTCACATTCAAGTTTTTAGATTCAAATTCAGTATTTATTTAAACTACAAATGGTGTAAGAATGACTGTTTTAAGGCAGATCTCACTGTTTTGAGGCAGATTTCACTGTTTTAAGGCAGATTTCACTGTTTTAAGGCAGATTTTACTGTTTTGAGGCAGATTTCACTCTCAACAGCAACTATCTTAAATCCAGATGGGATCGGTGTCATGAATCATTTTAAAAAGCCCAGTTGTACAAAACTGCAAATGGACAAGACTAACATTTTCTGTAACCTCACTGGAAAAACACTCATCTCACGCCTCTTGTGTCTTTCCTTTTTTACAGGGACAAGCCAATGTGAGCTCACCTGCAGTCCAGCTCCGGCGTTTCGACTTGGCTTTGAATTGTTTTCTTGTCATTCCTGCACCGCTAAAATCTCCATCCAGTCACGTTTTCACGAGAGTCCTGTCTGCCACCACCAGCCAGGTAACACTCTATTATCTCTGTTAAGCTAACGATTATTTGTCATGAATACTTAAAGGTCACCTATTATGCAAAATCCACTTTTTCAACATGCCCCCCCCCCCCCCCTCTGTGTAAAGAGACTCTGAAAGTTTCAGGAAAAAAGATTCTCTCTCTTTTTGTCCTGATCCATTTTTATAAAAACCTGTCTGAAAATGAGCTGATCAGATTTTGGCCACTTTATGATGTCATAACGATGTTTTGGCTTGTGTACCCATTAGCCAATCACCAACCAAGGTAACCCCCCCCCCCCCCCCCCACCTTATCACCTGAATCTCCTCCTAGAGCACCATTGTGTTCTTTGTAACCAAATCTCTCTCAGAGGGGCGTGGGGAGGGGCTCCTTATTTTCATCTAAAGTAACAGACAGAGAATCAGCACTTTGGAAACAGGGCTGAAACAGAGGGGATTATGGGTAATGCTGCAATGATCTGTTTGGTGTTTGGAGCCAAACACTTCAGAGACATGTTTTGTGTATATCTGAGACCTGTAATATATTGATGAAAAACAGTATAATAGGGGACCTTTAACATACATCTAAAAATAAAGAAAGTATTTCAAGTTATCTTTTGAAAATAGTCCAGCTCCAGCCTAAGTTATACTCTGTATGTCATCTCCATAAAGTGTTTATTGATCACTCATTAATAATGTTGTACTATCATTCAGTCACCTCACGGTGGTGCTATAGCTTCATCAACTGAGGCCATACGACCCCATAAATACAGCTATTAAAAACAACAGAGGTGGGAGAAGTACTCGGATCCTGTACTTGAGTAAAAGTAGAAGTACTCAGGTATTGTACTTGAGTCAAAGTAGAAGTACTCAGATCTTGTACTTGAGTAAAAGTAGAAGTACTCAGATCTTGTACTTGAGTAAAAGTAGAAGTACTCAGGTATTGTACTTGAGTAAAAGTAGAAGTACTCAGGTATTGTACTTGAGTAAAAGTAGAAGTACTCAGGTATTGTACTTGAGTAAAAGTAGAAGTACTCAGGTATTGTACTTGAGTAAAAGTAGAAGTACTCAGATCTTGTACTTGAGTAAAATAGAAGTACTCAGATCTTGTACTTGAGTAAAAGTAGAAGTACTCAGATCTTGTACTTGAGTAAAAGTAGAAGTACTCAGATCTTGTACTTGAGTACAAGTAGAAGTACTCAGATCTTGTACTTGAGTAAAAGTAGAAGTACTCAGATCTTGTACTTGAGTAAAAGTAGAAGTACTCAGATCTTGTACTTCAGTAAAAGTAGAAGTACCAGAGTGTAGGAATACTCTGTTACAGTAAAAGTCCTGCATTCAAAATGTTCCTCAAGTAAAAGTAGAAAAGTATTCTCATCAAAATATAGTGAAAGTAGCGACAGTAAAAGTAGTCATTGTGCAGATTGGTCCATTTCAGAATAATATATATGATATGTTTTATAATGATTGATCATGAAAGTGTTCTCAAAGCTGGTAAAGGTGCAGCTAGTTTGAATGACTTTGTATACTGCAGGGTAGCTTGTGGATTTACTCCAGGTGGAACTAAAGTCTGATTTAACACTTGATTACATTTCACACCATTACTAAAGGTATTAAATACATGTAGTGGAGTATAAGTACACCATTTACCTCTGAATTGTAGTGGAGTAGAAGTACAAAGTAACTTAAAATGGAAATACTCAAGTAAAGTACAAGTATCTCAAAACTGTACTTAAGTAGAGTACTTGAGTAAATGTACTTAGTTACTTCCCACCTCTGAAAATCAGTTCATAAATCAGAGGAGCAGTGTAAACAAAATGTTCATATACTTCAGTATGTAAGTAAACCCAGGATTAAATGTAACCATTTCATCGTTGACTCGTAAAAACATGACACCCCTTCCTTTCCTACCCCTGAATATATCCCACAGTGCTAGAAGCAGTGAAAGCATTTATAAACTATAAAAGTATCATTAACAAAGGAAACAAAACTAAAATGAATAATTATGCAGCGACCCTTAAAGGTATAATCTCATTACTTTTGGATCTTGCACCAATGCATTAGCATGTATGCTGCAATGTAATGTGGTACAGCATTTGTATTTAAAGTAATCTATGTACTGTGGTTTCATCTTTTGCATAATAGGTAACCTTTACGTTTAGTCAAATGTATTTCCCTCTGAAAAGAAGTAAAACGTGGCGTATAATAAAATAACTTTAGATACAGTTTGAGGGTAAATTAATGTATCAACAATCAATAAGTTGACCAACTGCAACAACGTTATGTCATTAAATACAGCATATATGTACACACAATATAATTTGCTTTAATTTAAATGTGCATTTCCAAACCAGAAGTAATTTGACTTCTATGTCAGATCGTCCGAGGGAAACAGAAGACACAACGTATTGAAAGCCGGTTCGAACGTGCACATTCCTCCAATCTCATCATCATCTGCATTATCTTTCTCTCTCTCTGTTTCTCATTCAGTTTTCTCCTGTGTTGGTGTATTCTGATGGATCAGTATGTCTACCACTAATAATATCGCCCAGGCCAGGAAACTGGTGGAACAGCTGAGAATCGAGGCAGGGATCGAACGCATTAAGGTAGGAGGAGATATACGTGGAAGTGATCAGTCATCCACATCTGATTGTTTTCTCCTTACTATTTCTTCTCTCTCCTCCTTTCTCCTCTCCAAATTAAATCAAAGTTTATTTATGTCCCAATGTCACAAGAAACGTTTGTCTCAGCGGGGTTTTCAGATTAACAACACAGATTAAAGTTTTAACAGATAAATACAATTACAAGAAAATAATAAAGATAGAACGCGACATATAAGTGGTCTTCAACCTTCCTAAATGTTCCCACACCACGCCGCTCCTCCGCTCCCTTCACTGGCTTCCAGTAACTGCTAGAATCCACTTCAAGACACTGGTGCTTGCGTACCATGCTGTGAATGGATCTGGCCCTTCCTACATCCAGGACATGGTTAAACCATACACCCCAGCACGTGCACTCCGCTCTGCATCAGCCAAACGGCTCACTGCACCCGCACTGCGAGGGGGACCCAAGTTCCCATCAGCAGAAACACGTGGGTTTGCTATCCTGGCTCCAAAATGGTGGAATGAGCTCCCCATTGACATCAGGACAGCAGAAAGCTTACATATCTTCCACGACTCCACTTCGAGCGATAGAATGACTAACAAAGCACTTATATACTAACAAAGGACTGGCTTATCTAAAGCTAGTTGAGTAGCACTTGAAATGTTTTGGCTCTATGAAACCTGATGTACTTATATGATTCTGTTTTCTTGAAGTTTGTATCTTTTTGGTCGAATGCACTTATTGTAAGTCACTTTGGATACAAGTGTCAGGCTGAAGACACTCAATATTGAATTTACATTTACACCCTTTAAAGTTTGAGAAACCGGCTCGAGATCGCTAGAATTTGAAAATACACAACTGGAGAAAATCTGCCACTTCCTTACAGAGCCCCTCCTCCAACTCACGAACGCGCACATGACCAATGAGGGCACGAGATACGTTTGTGCACAGATGGAAGGCTGACAGGCAGGTAGGCCATCCAGTTATTTTAGCCGGGCCGGCTCAGATGATTGGTCGTGCTTTTTACAGTACTACGGCTTCCACAGATGACATTTTTTGTCAAAGCACTTCAGATATTCATTGCTATCGGGATGTTAAGAGCATTTCATGGAATATAACAAAAAGTGTATCTCGAGCCGGTTTCTCAAACTTACCTACCCCACCTTTAATATTTTACTTGGGCTTTTAGATGAAGACCGCACACAGTTAATAAATACAACTATTCTTCTACAATTTCTTTTGGAAAAAATTATTGCCACAAAAAATCAAAGGGCGGCTCAACACGCCGTGAAATGGGAAATAATGAGCTCTAACGAAGAGTGGGATGAAAGGAACAATACATGTGCTTTCCATGTTGTGTTTTTGGTGGTTTTTGGTTGTCAACCTATTTTTGTTTGTGAAATGTTGAAGTGATCCTACTGACTGTATCTTTATTTCTTCAGTTTTTGTTATTGTTATGTCCACGTTTGTGTCTATAGCCTGTACAAAAAAACATTGTCTGCCTCCCTAATTAAAACAGGACGTTGGTTCCACAGAAAGGAGGTAGCTGAACGCTCCTTATCTAGTTTGTCAGACTCTAGGCACCACTTAAATACCTGCTCTCCCCCCCCCCCCCCCCCCCCCTCTTCTTCTGCAGGTGTCAAAAGCGGCAGCAGACCTGATGAGTTACTGTGAGCAGCACGCTCGTGCCGACCCTCTGCTGGTCGGGGTTCCCACCTCTGACAACCCTTTCAAGGACAAGAAGCCCTGCATCATCCTATAGCCGCCTTCTGACATCACACACACACACACACACACACACACACACACACACACACACACACACACACACACACACACACACACACACACACACACACACACATTTATATACACTTGTGCACATACAGGCACATATAAATGCACACATTCAATACTTAAAATGATCCCCAAACTCATGCAAGCACACATTTCAAGTCTACAAACACATACAGAAACACACACACACACACACACACACACACACTCCAAAAATAGCCACTCTGGAAAAGCGCCATACTCCGGAGCCACAGCTAGGGGGCAGGTATCTCGTTCTCTTGGTGGCTGAGATCAGTATATCACTGAGTATGATCCAAGGTGCTTTTGGTTATATTCACATATGCTGGTTAATTAACTACAAGTGTCAGCTTAACTTTGAAAGGGATTTGGACATTATTTATCAGTAAGAAAACCGGATTTCTTTCCTTCTTTTGTCAAAAAATGAGGGGTTGTTTAAAGGATGGACTGCAGTGCCAGGCGAGGAGTGGGAGGATGCATGTTGGCAACAGAAATGAACGGTTGGCGCTCCCAAACACGACCTGGTGTCACGTTAAAAGCTCAATAAGAGCTTTTTTTTGCGTGAGAGTTAAAACAGGTCTGAGAGCTTTGCCTACAAACCTATTGTGCTAAATCATGGCGGGTAATTTCGGAGCAAGTGGCTGAAGCCTTTGCCTTTTTCAAACTAGCATGTTCCCATCCAACAGACCTCTGCCTGTGGCCTCACTGCGGCCGTCTGCAGCCTTTGGCAAAACCTCCAGCTGTGCCAACCTGTACAGAAAGTCGTCCCTCGGTGCTGATCTGATGTCAATATGGCTGCTGTTGGTTGAGATCAAAGTCTAACGTGACATCAGATCTGCAGCAGAACATAGTTACACAAACTCAAGCTATTAACCCTGGACGCTTACTGCAATTTTCTTAAGAAATACTTGTTTGTGAACTACATGTATGTTGCGATATTTTGTTGAAGCATTACTTAACAGATAAATATAATACTTTATTTTAATTATTGGTTTGCTTTGACATAGGTGTTGCCCCTGGCTGGTCACGTTTCTCTTCCCGTTTGAGGCTAGATGCTACCATTAATCAAACAACAGGAGATGTGGTTGTCAGCCAGGAGTATCACCTATAAGCAGATAACAGAAGTATCTTAATCTAGCCGCCCTGTGCTTTACCCCGAGGTCGCACACTTGACCACACCTTTACAGTCTGCAAGGACTGCATGGCTGGAGGGGAACACCCAAACTGAAAAAGTAAAAGTGATGCTGTCTTAAAACGTTTAGATTAACCTTTCCCTTTCCTGCCTTCTTCACTTATGTTTGTGTGTTTGAATTGGCAGTTTTTATAATGTTAATGGATGGAAAAGAAGAGATATAATGCATTGGATAGTGAAAAGATAAAGGTGTTTGCCTTGTTTGCATCTACAGTAGAGGAAGAGGGTACCACAGTGCATCAGAACAACCTGGCTAAACCAGTCTGAGAGCTTGGGGTCAGAGACTGGGTCGGTAACAGCCAGCAGTCGATGCACGGTCTCCTCTGTCCTCCTCTCCTCCACAATGCTCCTCTCTCTGACAAACCAAACTTGATTGTAAAAGCTGAAGTTGAAGTGAAAGAAAAAATGAAGTAAAGAGAAACAAACTAACTGTATAAACTTTATTTCAGACGTGCAGAAGTGAGTGAGTAGCTGTTTTGGGTTTCTTTGTGAGTTTCTTCTTTCTATGGAGTCCATGGAGCCTGGTGAGTTGAGTAGTTCCCTGTACAGGGTTTGTAAGATACGCAATCTAGACACAGAACCTCCCTCTCTGGATGCTGGATTTATTTTAGTACTACTTTTTCTGTTCGGTCAGTCACATATCTGTCTTCATTTCTTCTTCTGTTTCTCATTCAGGATTTAGAGGCTAACATCTGATAGAAACAAAACAACTGTTAGGTTTATTATCGTGTCCTGTTAGAGGATGAACCAACATCGGACCTCCTTTAACACCGGAGCCGCAACGTCGTTCTCAAGTGTTGGTTATGGTCGGCCAAAGGCATTTAGGACAACACACACTCATCCGCATAACACGCTCTCTTGCTGTTGTTGTTGTTTTAGGTTTGATTGCCACAAGTCAAAGCTTAAAGGAGCACTAAATGACACGAGCTGCTTGATCCCTGAAAAGATGTGTGCAATCATATTTACATTGGAACATTTAGCCGAGGCTTTTGTCAGCTGTAACGTACAAGACTTACGACTGCTGATGAATCTCAGGGGAGTTGAATCGACTGCTTTTTTCTGTTAGGCTATTTGATCGTGAGCCATCCTGCTGAGTTTCTATTAGAAGTGGTGCGAACTGTTGAGCAGTGTGCACAGAGACGAAGCAGGCAGGGGGCACCTTTTAGGTATGTTTGCGACGGAATTAAATTATTATGGAGGTACCCTTGACAAATCTTTGAATGTGTCTTTAAAGGAATAGCATGTATGTGCATTTGAGTGTGTGTTTCGGAGAGACACACAGTGTGTAAGAAGAAGGCACAGTATCTCTACATGTTACTGTCGCTCAGCCCTCCAATGGCAGGTCAGGATGAGTCTGACCGGAGCAGAGGACACGTTGTGCAACATGTACGGCCTCCTCTCACTCAGATGCTACTGTGCTCATCTTTAAGAAGAGTAAAGAAGGGCCTTGTAAGAATATACAATAATGGGAAGCTATTTTTAATGTGATGACCAATAATGACCAAAAACAACCCAGAAATCCCAAAAATGTGTTCAGCTCTTTTTGCCTGGTTTAGTTATACACATTGCAGCTTGTTTTCCCCGCTCATCAAAGCCATTAAAGCGACTCCAATGTTTCTCTGTTTAGAATAAAGTTAAGCTGGCAGCAAGTTAGCTTAGCTTAAGTGTAAGAGCAAATCCAGGGCATTGAAGCCAATTTGACAAAGTGTTGAAATACAACTTCAGGATTTTGTGTGTGACGCCATTGGATATCCAGAGTTATAACCCTTTCTTTTTTCATTTGAGCAGGGTTAAAAGAAAATAGTGGTACGCTTGCTTTATGGGCATTTAGTGTTGACTTACTGTCTGTCTGGGGATTCTGATTTCACCGCTGATGTTAAATTGGCGGAAATTCTGTCATTGGATTGATATGACCACAAGGACGTCCAAATTGACCAATCAGAATCGAGTATTCAATTAAAGCTGTGTTAAGCTAAGATAACCAGCTTCTGGCTGTCATTCAATTTGAGCAAACAGATAATGAAGTGGTATACATCTTCTCTAAACCTCCCTGCAATAAATCCATTAATGGTTTTTCCCAAGAGGTTAAACCATACCTTTAAATTAGATATGTCCCTTTATCTAGAGTTAATTGTAGAGTTGGTCGAAATATAATAACTATACAAACAGAAACTTGACTGCAGTGACAGACAGGAAGTAACGCAGAATAACTCATCTGTGTTCCTCGCCAGAAATATAACTACTTCAAAATTGGGCAATGAACGTATTTCTTGTCGAGGAAATCAGAGGCAGTTCCCAGTAATTTCTTTGCAAAATGCATTTCAAATTACAACTGCACGAGAATCACACAACATGAAACAAGCATGCACACATATCAGCTCACACACATACACACACACGGATGTTGTTCTGGATATGTCTGACAGATTCTATTTTTTACCATTATTGTCATTTCAATCATTCCATAGCTGGTTGAGCTTAAAATCAGAGAGACAGACGACCTACATTGCTGGTTTGGCTGACGGCTTCTCTGATTGGTTGGTTGTTAGTTTGCCTTATAGTGGCGTATATTGTGTTAATGCTGGTCTTGGGGTTGTCAGATTGACAGAATGAACAGTGTTAAAGTAGAACATGAAGCTTGAGATGGAAATCCCCTGGTGTTGTGACTCAAAGCAGGCAAGAGTTGAGGCTCCTCACCGGCTGACTACGAAATCAAACATGGCTGAATCCGCTCTGAGCCGTTCCCGAGACTCGTCTTCTGTGTTCTGATCTCCTGTGTATGCATACAGTATATGTATCTTTTTGCCTTGATTGATTATGAAGAAAATATATCTATTTTTTGTAACTGTTCTCTGATGTGCCATAACTCATGTTTTCTTGCACACTGTTAATATTTTGTGGATATTGCTGTTAAAAAAGATGATATTGAAAAGTAGATAACATTAATAAAAAGATGATATAATAACAAATGCTCTTGTGGAATATTTTTATGTTTAGCTTTGCTGACGGCACGCTTGCATGGAGGGCAATGTCAGTCAAAGACTTTGCCCCAAAGCATGTTTTTTTTCCTACCATTTCAACCCAATGCAGCCTGATGCTTTTTTTATTTTGATTTATCTGTGTTTTATTTTGTCAACATTTTGATCAATGATTTGTATTACATTTATATAAGGAATTTGAATCGATAAGAAACGTGTCTGACAAAAAAAAACACTACAGGCTTACAGTATGTACAGTAATAATTGTTTTTATCAAACCATGAACCATATACATGTAAACATGCATAAAGCTGCTGTAGGCAGGCCTTTTGCTTTCCTCCTAACCTCCTGAGACCCAGAAAGAAAAAGGTTTCAAATGTCCTTTTATTTTTAGATCACACAAGTCTTTAGGGTGTTATTAACATAATGACTAACAAAAACTAAAAAAATATATTTTTATTTTTGTTTTATTGTGTGTCCTTTGTAGAGGACATCGGGTGTTAGTTATGCAAAGCATAGTATACAAACAACATTAACATACAAGTACATTTAGACAACATTAGAGCACAACAACTCAATGCAACACATATTGAGCCCTCATTTGTAGTACTCCATCCTTTTTGAAATGCAGAGATACATCTGACACTTGAGGCACTTGATGTATGTGTTCCCACTTCATCCGTCTGCCATGAACCCTACAGAAACCTACGTGTTAGTGTTGGCCCGTAGTGGACTCCATTTGTGTTGTGTAAAATGGGGGAAATAAAAAGTTAGCAAATCCCCATGTCCTCCTCAGAGGACATTCATTACAACATTTAGTTTTAGGTCAAATAATTATTACACTGCTCTGAAACTCACTACACTAACTCCTAAGATGTTCCCTTACTATAATTAATTAAAATATTGAACTCACAACACTGGTAATTACAAAATTACAAACTTACCATTTCTCTTTCTATAAATAGTGCTTGTGTTGATGGACGCCATTTTGAAATACAATGAAATTATCTTTTTCAAAGCCACACCCCCACATATGTCACATGAAAGCCCAGGATGTCCTCTGTGGAGTACACTTGGACTTAATGCTGTGGCATGTATAACCTCAAAGTAATGGACCAAAACCGAGGACAAAAATGAATGGGTGGGTCTCGCTCCAACACATTGTACGTGATTGGCTAAGGGGCGGGACATCTCTAAGCGATTGACCAATCACAACAGAGCCGGCCATCTAACCAATCAGAGCAGACTGGGCTCTGGTTTCAGACAGAGGGTGAAAAGAGGTGCTGCAGCACAGGCAGTATGAGAACAATAAAGAGCTTTTTGAACATTAAAGCTAACATGTCACGGAAGAGACACTTAATACTAACCTGAAAATAAGCAGAGTAGGGCCCCTTTAATAAAAACATTTGAAAGATTACAAATATATTAAATACATGAATACAAATAATAATGCAGATGTGCTGTAGGTTTGTGTTTTAATGAGATAATTGATGCAGTATCACACATTTTCTTGTACTGAAAGGCATCTTCTCTGCATTTCCCAACAACCAGACAACAATAACCATGATTGTTCAGTTATCTTTTAAAAGTTAAACTGTGAATATAATTAAGGGTAAGTTTTGTTAGAGCTTTTGTTTCTATTGTATGTTTACCCAGAAAGCTTCACAGCACCAACAAAAGCTGACCTACATATGTGGTGAGGCTGAATGGGAGACATGGAACATGGACTGGATCCACTGAGGCTGAGCATGAGAAACATGGATCCTCTCAGGCGGAAACATCCGGGTTATTATGTATTTATTTCAACAAGGACCATGCATACAAATACATTAATCTCAGAAAAGAGAAGAGATGAATTATGCCAGATTTGAGCTAATAGCTCATTTCCATCTGCAGTCCTTAGGGTCACATGATGACTTCTGCAGCACCTTTTAAACATACAAAACAACAAGTGCTTTCACTGTCAATTCATCTGTTTCAACCCTTTTTTACCCAAAACAGAAATGTAACAGTGGTGGCAGAATTATTCAGCAGGGCTGCACGCTTAATTATAATTTTAAAGATATTGCTAAATGGACTACAAATTGCATAATATGCCAAAATATGTGTAAATATGTGAAGTAGAGCTGCAGATGTAATTATACAAACTAAATAAAGAAACATTTTGGCCCAGATTACCTCTTACATTGCAAATCATATCACGATTGCAATATCAGTCAAACTAAATGCAATTAATCCAGCCTATTACTTAGTGTTTTTACTTAAAGTAGTACAAGTCCATCATTTCAAATTATATTGAAGTTAAAGTATATAAGTATTGGCATCAAATGAACTTAAAATAACTAAGTGAAATACTTATTGTGCGTATTAGCCCATTTCAAAATTTTAGATTTTAGATGCATTAACTCTGCTGGATATCTTTTACATTGCAGTTAATTTACAAATTGATATATATTGTGTATAAGCTAATATTCTGCATCTGTAAAGAGTAATTTACTGCTGGTTCAGTGTCATAAAAGAGCCAAACAACAAGAAAATATTCAGATATAAGAAACTGTAATAAGCGAATTCTCACTGTTTTCGTTCCTAAAAAGTCCTAATAATTGTCCACTCATTTTAAAGGTCACATATCAAGGTTAAAAGTGTCAGCTTAGAAATACAAACAAACTATTCCTGCTGTAAAGGATCTGATTAAAGAGGAAAAAGAAAGTGTCAGATTAAATTGCCGGGGATTATAAAGAAGGGAGAGGATTATGATTAGAAACTGTTTGCCTCACATAACGAGGATCCACTGACCCGTTAATGAGGCTCGGAAAGGGGGCGTTTATCCCTGACGGAGGGGTGGGGTCCTCCCCAAACAATACATCAACACCCAGAGAGACTAAAACGTTCCCTGTCAGTCTCATAGTTTCTCCGGAGGATCTCAGTGAGGTAAAGTCTTTGAGGATAATTTGGGAAAATGCCAGAGGAGGAACAGCGAGAGAAACTATCCCGAGTGATCCGGCAGTGGAACAACAACAGACTGGACCTGTTCGAGATCACTGCCCCTGATCAGGTGAGTCCTGCACACATTATTAATCACTTGTATATAGACTCTTATGGCACTACTTCTATTCTATTTTATTGTATTTACTTGCACTATTTTATCTGTTTTATTGTGTTGCACTGTTGGAAGAGCCTGGGACCTAAGATTTTCATCGACATCACTACACAGTGTACAAATGACAATAAAAGCCTTGAATCTTGAAAAAAAAACAATGTTTAAAAGTTTACGTTTATTTGTTTTTGTATTGCATCACAGCAGCTGTACTTCCTGTTTAACATGGTGACAAACAACATACACTGCTGTAGGAAGTATAACATTGCAGTATTAAAATACTGTTTTCTATAAAGTATTGTTGAGATCCAGGCCTAGAAATCATATTCAACGAACTTAACAAAACATATGTGTTAGGTACAGATCGAAGGGGCCCTCTCCTGCTGATGTTCAGGTGTATGTCAGTATGTAGTGTCTCTACTTTAAAGAGTCCTCTCCTGCTGATGTTCAGGTGTATGTCAGTATGTAGTGTCTCTACTTTAAAGAGTCCTCTCCTGCTGATGTTCAGGTGTATATCAGTATGTAGTGTCTCTACTTTAAAGAGTCCTCTCCTGCTGATGTTCAGGTGTATATCAGTATGTAGTGTCTCTACTTTAAAGAGCCCTCTCCTGCTGATGTTCAGGTGTATATCAGTATGTAGTGTCTCTACTTTAAAGAGTCCTCTCCTGCTGATGTTCAGGTGTATATCAGTATGTAGTGTCTCTACTTTAAAGAGTCCTCTCCTGCTGATGTTCAGGTGTATATCAGTATGTAGTGTCTCTACTTTAAAGAGTCCTCTCCTGCTGATGTTCAGGTGTATATCAGTATGTAGTGTCTCTACTTTAAAGAGTCCTCTCCTGCTGATGTTCAGGTGTATATCAGTATGTAGTGTCTCTACTTTAAAGAGTCCTCTCCTGCTGATGTTCAGGTGTATATCAGTATGTAGTATCTCTACTTTAAAGAGTCCTCTCCTGCTGATGTTCAGGTGTATATCAGTATGTAGTGTCTCTACTTTAAAGAGCCCTCTCCTGCTGATGTTCAGGTGTATATCAGTATGTAGTGTCTCTACTTTAAAGAGTCCTCTCCTGCTGATGTTCAGGTGTATATCAGTATGTAGTGTCTCTACTTTAAAGAGTCCTCTCCTGCTGATGTTCAGGTGTATATCAGTATGTAGTGTCTCTACTTTAAAGAGTCCTCTCCTGCTGATGTTCAGGTGTATATCAGTATGTAGTGTCTCTACTTTAAAGAGTCCTCTCCTGCTGATGTTCAGGTGTATATCAGTATGTAGTGTCTCTACTTTAAAGAGTCCTCTTCTGCTGATGTTCAGGTGTATATCAGTATGTAGTGTCTCTACTTTAAAGAGTCCTCTCCTGCTGATGTTCAGGTGTATATCAGTATGTAGTGTCTCTACTTTAAAGAGTCCTCTCCTGCTGATGTTCAGGTGTATATCAGTATGTCGTGTCTCTACTTTAAAGAGTCTTCTCCTGCTGATGTTCAGGTGTATATCAGTATGTAGTGTCTCTACTTTAAAGAGTCCTCTCCTGCTGATGTTCAGGTGTATATCAGTATGTAGTGCCTCTACTTTAAAGAGTCCTCTCCTGCTGATGTTCAGGTGTATATCAGTATGTCGTGTCTCTACTTTAAAGAGTCCTCTCCTGCTGATGTTCAGGTGTATATCAGTATGTAGTGTCTCTACTTTAAAGAGTCCTCTCCTGCTGATGTTCAGGTGTATATCAGTATGTAGTGACTCTACTTTAAAGAGTCCTCTCCTGCTGATGTTCAGGTGTATATCAGTATGTAGTGTCTCTACTTTAAAGAGTCCTCTCATGCTGATGTTCAGGTGTATATCAGTATGTAGTGTCTCTACTTTAAAGAGTCCTCTCCTGTTGATGTTCAGGTGTATATCAGTATGTAGTGTCTCTACTTTAAAGAGTCCTCTCCTGCTGATGTTCAGGTGTATATCAGTATGTAGTGTCTCTACTTTAAAGAGTCCTCTCCTGCTGATGTTCAGGTGTATATCAGTATGTAGTGTCTCTACTTTAAAGAGTCCTCTCCTGCTGATGTTCAGGTGTATATCAGTATGTAGTGTCTCTACTTTAAAGAGTCCTCTCCTGCTGATGTTCAGGTGTATATCAGTATGTAGTGTCTCTACTTTAAAGAGTCCTCTCCTGCTGATGTTCAGGTGTATATCAGTATGTAGTGTCTCTACTTTAAAGAGTCCTCTTCTGCTGATGTTCAGGTGTATATCAGTATGTAGTGTCTCTACTTTAAAGAGTCCTCTCCTGCTGATGTTCAGGTGTATATCAGTATGTAGTGTCTCTACTTTAAAGAGTCCTCTCCTGCTGATGTTCAGATGTATATCAGTATGTCGTGTCTCTACTTTAAAGAGTCTTCTCCTGCTGATGTTCAGGTGTATATCAGTATGTAGTGTCTCTACTTTAAAGAGTCCTCTCCTGCTGATGTTCAGGTGTATATCAGTATGTAGTGACTCTACTTTAAAGAGTCCTCTCCTGCTGATGTTCAGGTGTATATCAGTATGTAGTGTCTCTACTTTAAAGAGTCCTCTCATGCTGATGTTCAGGTGTATATCAGTATGTAGTGTCTCTACTTTAAAGAGTCCTCTCCTGCTGATGTTCAGGTGTATATCAGTATGTTGTGTCTCTACTTTAAAGAGTCCTCTCCTGCTGATGTTCAGGTGTATATCAGTATGTAGTGTCTCTACTTTAAAGAGTCCTCTCCTGCTGATGTTCAGGTGTATATCAGTATGTAGTGACTCTACTTTAAAGAGTCCTCTCCTGCTGATGTTCAGGTGTATATCAGTATGTAGTGTCTCTACTTTAAAGAGTCCTCTCCTGTTGATGTTCAGGTGTATATCAGTATGTAGTGTCTCTACTTTAAAGAGTCCTCTCCTGCTGATGTTCAGGTGTATATCAGTATGTAGTGTCTCTACTTTAAAGAGTCCTCTCCTGCTGATGTTCAGGTGTATATCAGTATGTAGTGTCTCTACTTTAAAGAGTCCTCTCCTGCTGATGTTCAGGTGTATATCAGTATGTAGTGTCTCTACTTTAAAGAGTCCTCTCCTGCTGATGTTCAGGTGTATATCAGTATGTAGTGTCTCTACTTTAAAGAGTCCTCTCCTGCTGATGTTCAGGTGTATATCAGTATGTAGTATCTCTACTTTAAAGAGTCCTCTCCTGCTGATGTTCAGGTGTATATCAGTATGTAGTGTCTCTACTTTAAAGAGCCCTCTCCTGCTGATGTTCAGGTGTATATCAGTATGTAGTGTCTCTACTTTAAAGAGTCCTCTCCTGCTGATGTTCAGGTGTATATCAGTATGTAGTGTCTCTACTTTAAAGAGTCCTCTCCTGCTGATGTTCAGGTGTATATCAGTATGTAGTGTCTCTACTTTAAAGAGTCCTCTCCTGCTGATGTTCAGGTGTATATCAGTATGTAGTGTCTCTACTTTAAAGAGTCCTCTCCTGCTGATGTTCAGGTGTATATCAGTATGTAGTGTCTCTACATGTCTCCATGCTTTAATGTTCAAAAAGCTCTTTATTTTTCTCATACTGCCTGTGCTGTAGCACCTCTTTTCACCCTCTGTCTGAAACCAGAGCCCAGTCTGCTATGATTGGTTAGCTGCCCGGCTCTGTTGTGATTGGTCAACAGCTTAGAGATGACCCGCCCCTTAGCCTATCACATACAATGTGTTGGAGCGCTAGGAAAACATACAGAGACGATTTGTAGTGTTTTACAGAACCCCTGATCCAAATAACTTCATGCATGCGCCCATTCTTTCTGTGTTCTTTCAGAATTTTGAGTTTCATGGCGTGATGCGTTTCTACCTGGAGGACGGAGTCTCAGGAAACGTGGCGACGAAGTGTCTGCGGGTCAGCAGCAGCTGGAAAACTCTGGAAGTCATCGACACTCTGTCAGAGAAATTCCGACCTGACATGAAGATGCTGACAACGAGCTATTCTCTGTTCGAGATCCACGCCAACAAAGGTAAACACTCCACTCAAACTGTATTTAAGACGGCAGATTAGTTGGTGATTAATTAAATTGATGACATTCATTGATAAATGTTTGCAGCTGTTGTTTATTTAAGAGTATTTTCTGTGTGTTTTTGTGTTTTAAGAGCGTAAACTGGAACTGGATGACAGTCCGTTGGTCGTTCAGCTGAACTGGAACAGAGACAACAGAGAGGGACGCTTCGTGCTCAAAAAAGACCGGAAAAGTTTGGAGGTACAGCTCAAAGACGTTCATTAAATCTGCAGTTCAAACTCTTTTCACCACACAATCTCACTTATATGTCCTTTTTTATTAAATATAAAGGAGAAGAGTCTGGAGAAGGAGAAAGGAGGTGTGATGCAGAGCTTCAAGAGGACGCTGTCCAGGAAAGACAAGAAGAAAGACAAGAACAGAAATAAAGAAACGGAGGAGAAGAGGTAAAATACTACAGATTTTTCACCATCATATTTCTGCGTAATGTCCAGAATAACATATTTCCCTTTTAAACAAATATCCAGGTCCACGGAGAATCTGCTGAACAACAACAGCATTTATGTTTCTGACTACGAGACAAAAAAGAGCGGCGGCCTCGGTAAGAACAATCTACAAACTTAAAGGGGACCTATCATGCAAAATGCACTTTTGTACGTCTTTTATACATGAATATGTGTCCCCGGTGTTCCAGGGAACTCACCAAGTGTCAGAAAACACAACCCTCTCTATTTTCCTCCATACCCAAATCTCTAAAAAAGGGGCTGCAACGGATCTGATAAAAACTGATCCAGATTTGAACACTGTCCTGACGTCAGGACGGTGGCGCTACGGCTATTGGGCCAACTCCACCAATCAGGAGGAGACAGCCACGGCCATTGCCGTTCGAAAGCGCTGGAGACGCTGTAGTACATATGCCAGGCCAGTAGATGGTGCTGTTCTCACAGAATCAGCCCTTGCAAAAACAGAGCTAGAAATTGTCAAATTGAGCAAAATGAGGCATGGCTAAAATGCATGATCTGTTTGGTATTTTGAAAAAAAAAAAGTATAAATATGCCTTATATAGGTATGGTCCTACACTATATTATTCAAATATAGCATGATAGGTCCACTTTAATTAAAAAATAATTCAAATCCTGTCACGAGCGAGCTGAGAACCAAAATGCAACACACGGGAGACCAGGGAAAGTCGGTAACCAGCTTTATTATAAAATGTTTCAGCTGAAAAGTTCTGGGATAAGACAAACCGGCAGACAGTAGGCAAAGGGCTGGTCGGGGACAGGCGAGGGTTCCAGGAGCAGGCAAGGCAGAATAGTCCAGGTACAGGCAGGGTCAGGAAACAGACGAGGCAGGCTGGTCAGGGACAGGCCAGGTCGAAACCGGGAGAGCAATCTGGGAGGTAATGCTGGAAAGAACTGCATGTGTAACCCTGGTGCAGATCACTCTGGTGATTACTTCAGTTTATTTCCTGCGTTTCAATGGACAACATAAAAAGGACACGTGAGCTGCGTTTCTCAAGAGATCCTCACGCGCTATGACTTTTACAAAATAAGTGTCCAATAATCAACAACAAAACATCAATGATCGTATAGTGGTAGTAATTTCATAAGCAATGTGAAACATTAAACATAAACAAATTGGTGTACAAAACTCACATACCTGCGTTTCAATGGACAACATAAAAAGGACACGTGAGCTGCGTTCTGTAGGAGAAATAGCACCACGCTCACGTTAGTTTATTAGCTCAGATTAGCTATTGATGATCACATTAATAAATCATATAAAACAAATAGCCAATCACACAAAAAACATGTTGCTGTGAGCATTAAACGACTAACATTAAACTAAACAAACACAACAGAACGTTATTGTCCTAATAAAATAAAAACATACATTTTGTCCACCGACATTATACAATAGCACCTCTCAAGAGATCCTCACGCGTTATGAGAATCTCCCACAATCCATTGCCGTAACAAAGCTACAGTAATGCAGGCACACGTTTGTAACACCAGATGGCGTAATTCTCCAATTTAACCAGGATTTACACATGCTGCGAAGTACGATCTGGCACTGAGGCTGGAGCCACACGAGGACGATAACGCAAACGGACCGAAATCAGACTTCCTGCGCATGGTTGCCATGGTTGCCCTTCTGTTTATTCTCCGCTGTGGACACTGGCTCTTTTTCTCCCTCCCCGAGGCAAGCGTTTGCTCCTGCTCAGTGGCGGCTGGTGGAAAATATTTTAGGTGGGGCTGTGGAAATGGTGATCAAACAATACTAGGCTGGTCCTGGGGGATGCTCCCCCGGTAATTTTTTTTGAGAAAAGACCCCTTAAATTATGACTTCTGGTGATGTTAGAGGGGGGGAAGGACAATTTGAGGCTTAAAAATATGAGAAGACTGATCAATACCTCCATAACTTCAGTGTGGTTAGAGCTATGAATCTTCCAAAACTTCCAAACACCTTGTCCTGGACATAGTTTCTACAGCATAAACTGTGCAACAGTACAGTATGCCCACACAAACTGCAGAACACCGGGGCTTTGGGAACACTGATTTAATTCCCATTTAACCTGTTAAGGGGCTTTTTCCCCCCGTTTTTTTTCTCACGAAACTGTGTCTCAGGGCTTCTTAAAATGTAATAAACTATTCATGTGTCCTACTCAGAGGAAACGCATCTAACTGATGATATGAACCATGTTTACCGAAACAAAACACAAGTCTCACAAGAAGCGTCTAAATGAGCCCTGAGCGAAAAAATGCTAACGCACTCTAGGTATAAATCAATCGATATACTTATCGGATATGCACAAACAAGCTTACAAGCTGAGATTCCACAAATTCTAGAAATATAAGTATCATCACTGAGCGATCAGAACTCGCGACAGGGGAAGCAAATACAGACATCACACGACGTAGCTTTAGGTAGCAAAACACGGAGATATGCTCACCTTTTGCAGAATAACAATTCTGATCAAAAACGAGAAAAACGCAGTTGAAGGTTAATCCATACAGTAGGTTAATCCAATGTGTCTGTTACTTTGAAAAATGATTGATGATCCATAATTCCATTTTTATGTCAAAAACGGAGTTTTCATTAGCTGCTAATGGTAGCTTCCAGAGTGTATGACAGCTTCCTGTTTTGTCTCCTTGGATACGAGTCCAAACAACTCACAGACTGCACCGGGCGCTCACGTAGGAGCCCTGTGACTATCAGATTTGACGACGCTGATTGGCTGAAATTTTGTTTCGGCGGCATAGTTTTAAAGATAGCAACAGTTGGCTTCTGCTGCACTTGCTGCACTCTCGTCTGGGCGCTGTGCATAGCGCCCAGACGAGAGAGGGTAATGATACACGGGCAAGGCCAGGCAGGAAACATGTGACTTATCAGTAACTTTAGACATCGTAACACAATTTTAAACGAGATTTTATTGTAGATTATACATTTTACTGATACCAATTATATAATATTTACCTTGTTTATTAAAAATAAAAATAAAAATAAAAAATATATTTTTTAAATATATATTTTTTTATTTTTTTTATTTTTAATGTGGGAAGAAGGGGGGCGGCGCCCCTAGCGCCCCTATGGGCCGGCCGCCACTGCTCCTGCTGTAAATCTCCCACCTCTCCGCCTCTTCCAAGGGACGAGGGGACCGTGCAGCAGAGTTTCAGTTAGATTTTTTTTCGCTGGTCAACATGTCCGTTAAAGTTGAAATCTTCCGGACAAAATTAGAAAAGTGCCGGTCAAAGGTCTTCTTTGTTATTTATTGAGCTTTAAAACAAATGAATAACGACTCTATATAATAATATAAGAATAAAAAACGGAGCCTCTCTTTTCCCCCCCCTCTTCTGACAGCCCAGCAGCTGATCTCTGAGCAGGAGAGGTGGGGCTATTGCTTCAACGTTATCAGGAAATGATCGTATAGGCGTAAACCAAGCCCCCAGGAAGTGCGCCGGACTCTGATGAAAATATTCGTGCTGGCCAAACGGCGGTACTACACTTCCTTTTGGTTGCCAGGCCCGGAAACACTTTTTCCCATTGACTTACATGGGGAAAGAGTGGTCTGTAAATCGTTGGATAATTTTTTTTAAACTAAATAAACTACCCAGTATGAACACTTGTATAGCCCTTATTAAAAACATTCGTTCCTCAAGTTGTAAAATGTGCTAATAACGTTATTCTGAGAGTTATTTCCCTCTGCATTATGAACGCGCATCTAACCCACGGGACCGCGCCGCCCGGCACGTTCATGTTACGTGTTCAGCACTACATGAGTTTATCTTTACCCATGGATGCACAATAAGAACGGACCCATATCGCCTTACTGCCAGCCCACGGAGCTGTAATAATGGATATATTGCACATGTTTGCTGTAATTCATCATTTGTAAAATATTATACTACATGGGCTGTATGATTAAATCTTGTACCGTAAATGTTGTATTAAATAAAGTTAATATTACCGACGTAGATTAACGTCCCTGTAGCTTCTTATTGCACTAAGAAGCTTATTGCACTGTGTGTGTATGTGTGTATATATATATATATATATATATATATATATACAGTGCAATAATTATTTCATGCTAAATGAAGCTCTGTTGCTTGGATATCACTAGATCCTGTTACAGCGTAATATAAAAGTACATAACGATTGATGTGTAAATTAGCATAATTACTAGCTAACCGCTAGCTGCTAACTGCAGCCTCGTTAATATCAAATCTATCATAACAAACATTACCATGCTGTCATGAACGTGCGGTGCTGTTACGTGTACGCAAATTGACGTGCTTGATGTGAACGAGCATTTTGGGGGGCATGGTTAAAGTTGCGCATGCGCTATGAGCGCACATACGGGTACTTCTCAGGCATGCCGGGTAATCTGTGACGTTTCGCTCTCTCAAAAGTTGGGCCATTTTATCATCATGCGCGAATGAGCAACTCTCATAGGAATGAATGAGGCCCCGCCTCCCACGCTGTATCCAGTTCTTATTATACATCCATGGCGTAAACACGGAGCCGTTTGCCCCCCCAGAGCGTTTAGTTTGCAGATCTACCCACCTTGGGATCCGTTATCGTTATCGTTTTCTGCGTTTCCGTGTCGGACTCGTGTGGCCGACCCGTCTATCTAATAGAGAACTGTAGCAGATACGACCGTTATCGTCCTCGTGTGGCTGCAGCCTAAGGTGGCTGAGAAATGCTAATGCAGAAAATAGGTGAGTGAGGGACATAGACTGTGACAAATCCTAGTGATAGAAATCTTTAAAAAATATTATCCTAAATAATAAAACACTGACGAAAACCCTAATGAAAAATACAAGTCCTAATGAAAAAAACATAAAAAAGTGAATGCTAAATAAATAAAAACCTTATAGAAATCTAATTAAAAACCCTGATAAAAAATAAAAGTCCTTAAAAGAGAAATCCTAAAAAAGTAAACCTTAAATTACAAACGTAATAAAAAATAAAATCCAAATAAAGAATCCTAAAATGTAAATAAAATACTAAATATAAATTTAAAAATCCGTAACAAATTAAATCCTAATAAAGAAAAATCCTAAACTAAACAAATATTGAAAAGAAAACTAATACAATTCTTTATTAAACTCATAATAAAAAACAAAAATCCCAATTAAAAAGGACATTGCATTAACAAAAAATTCAAGAAATCCTAAATAAATAATATATATAATTCTTTAACTACAGGAGGAAAGCACAAAGACAATCCACATTTGTCGGATGATCCTGCATTACCGATTGGAGTTACATTCAGTGAATCCTGTGAGTATATGAAGAAGCTTTTATTAATATTATAGTTATTCTACCTTCTCTCATAACGCCGGTGTATTTATATATATTCCAGCGGAGCACGGCTTCCTGTCTGCGGTGATAAACTACACCAACAGCTCCACGGTTCACTTCCATCTCTCGCCGGCGTTCATCCTGTACGCCGCCGCTCGATCCGCTCTGAAGACACAGCGAGCCACGGAGATCACTAACAAGATGGCCGCCATGACAGGGAGGGTCATACAGGCAAGAAAACCCCTCACCCTATTACATTAAGGCGCCAAAAAAAGTGGATTTAGAGGAATATTTCACATGATTCTTGTTAGAAAAATATCACTCGTCACCGGCTTGAGCTTCAATATCAGGATACATGTATTTATTATCCTTGCAAGAATGGAAGTAGTCATCACATACAGAGCATCAACTAGTTCCTGAACAGTGTCCTTCACATGCTGATATCCAAGAGAGGGAGTTACACAGTCACAAGATGGAGGAATAGAAAGCAGTATTCAATATTTAGTTCAGATTAGCTCCACGTCAGAAATGATCATGCTTGTCATATGTCTATCTCCATAGAGGCTGAATCATCATGTTAATCACATAGCTATCATATGCCTAAAACAGTCTTGATGCTCTTCTCGGTAATCATACATCCTGTCATGTACACAGCTACAGTTGGGATACCTTTGTTATCATGTGCTACTCTGATATTGGAAGAGGACATTCAGTATTTTCCCAACAATTCTCATACTTGAGATCCTGACTCTGTGTTACCTCCAATTCTTTGCATTTTCCTCACATGCCTCCAAAGTAGTGACCTGCACCTACAAAACGTATTCAATATCAAGAAAGTGTGACATGTGTGTGTTGTATTACTGTTGCAGAGGCAGCAGGGGATCGCCGGCGCTCTCTCCTTCTGGATGGCCAACACCTCTGAGCTGCTGAACTTCCTGAAACACGACAAAGACCTCGGACCAATCACAGAGCAGAGCCAGCTCAACCTGTCCCACCTGGTGCACACAGCATACAGGTAACCATAGCAGCATAGACACCATTAGAGTCACCAGTACTGACACCAAGACACCAGTACTGACACCAAGACACCAGTACTGACACCAAGACACCAGTGCTGACACCAAGACACCAGTACTGACACCAAGACACCAGTACTGACACCAAGACACCAGTGCTGACACCAAGACACCAGTACTGACACCAAGACACCAGTACTGACACCAAGACACCAGTGCTGACACCAAGACACCAGTACTGACACCAAGACACCAGTACTGACACCAAGACACCAGTGCTGACACCAAGACACCGGTGCTGACACCAAGACAGCAGTACTGACACCAAGACACCAGTGCTGACACCAAGACAGCAGTACTGACACCAAGACACCAGTACTGACACCAAGACAGCAGTACTGACACCAAGACACCAGTGCTGACACCAAGACACCAGTGCTGACACCAAGACACCAGTGCTGACACTAAGACAGCAGTACTGACACCAAGACAGCAGTACTGACACCAAGACAGCAGTACTGACACCAAGACAGCAGTACTGACACCAAGACACCAGTACTGACACCAAGACACCAGTGCTGACACCAAGACACCAGTGCTGACACCAAGACAGCAGTGCTGACACCAAGACACCAGTGCTGACACCAAGACAGCAGTATTGACACCAAGACACCAGTACTGACACCAAGACACCAGTGCTGACACCAAGACAGCAGTGCTGACACCAAGACACCAGTGCTGACACCAAGACACCAGTACTGACACCAAGACACCAGTGCTGACACCAAGACACCAGTGCTGACACCAAGACACCAGTACTGACACCAAGACACCAGTACTGACACCAAGACAGCAGTGCTGACACCAAGACATCAGTGCTGACACCAAGACAGCAGTGCTGACACCAAGACACCAGTGCTGACACCAAGACAGCAGTGCTGACACCAAGACAGCAGTGCTGACACCAAGACAGCAGTACTGACACCAAGACAGCAGTACTGACACCAAGACACCAGTGCTGACACCAAGACACCAGTGCTGACACCAAGACACCAGTGCTGACACCAAGACACCAGTACTGACACCAAGACACCAGTACTGACCACAGACTGTGTTGTACAGACAGCAATACGTACTAGAGTATTTTTAAACACCAGCTAAAGACACATGTTTTTAGATTAGCTTTTTATTAGCAACCCCCCACTTAAATGTTATTTTAGTCTTTATTATTTATCTACCTTTATATTGTTTTATTTATTTTATACTGTAGGTCTTCTTTTCTTTTTCTGTTGTACCTAATACCTATATGTTCACTTTGTTTTATGGGGTTTTATATTTTATATTGTTGCATCAACTCAGTTGTCTTGTGTCTTATCTGTCAGACAGAAACCATTATTCATTTTATTTTATTTGTATTATCATACATTTTACCTCCTTGTGTCTATTAACCTGATAACATGTTATATTTTGCTGCATGTACTTTTAAAGGGCACCTATTATGCAAAACCCACTTCTTCATGTCTCTTCTACATCAACATGTGTCCCCTCTTCTTCATGTCTCTTCTACATCAACATGTGTCCCCTCTTCTCCATGTCTCTTCTACATCAACATGTGTCCCCTCTTCTTCATGTCTCTTCTACATCAACATGTGTCCCCTCTTCTTCATGTCTCTTCTACATCAACATGTGTCCCCTCTTCTTCATGTCCCTTCTACATCAACATGTGTCCCCTCTTCTTCATGTCTCTTCTACATCAACATGTGTCCCCTCTTCTTCATGTCTCTTCTACATCAATATGTGTCCCCTCTTCTTCATGTCTCTTCTACATCAACATGTGTCCCCTCTTCTTCATGTCTCTTCTACATCAACATGTGTCCCCTCTTCTTCATGTCTCTTCTACATCAACATGTGTCCCCTCTTCTCCATGTCTCTTCTACATCAACATGTGTCCCCTCTTCTTCATGTCTCTTCTACATCAACATGTGTCCCCTCTTCTTCATGTCTCTTCTACATCAACATGTGTCCTCTCTTCTTCATGTCCCTTCTACATCAACATGTGTCCCCTCTTCTTCATGTCTCTTCTACATCAACATGTGTCCCCTCTTCTTCATGTCTCTTCTACATCAATATGTGTCCCCTCTTCTTCATGTCTCTTCTACATCAACATGTGTCCCCTCTTCTTCATGTCTCTTCTACATCAACATGTGTCCCCTCTTCTTCATGTCTCTTCTACATCAACATGTGTCCCCTCTTCTTCATGTCTCTTCTACATCAACATGTGTCCCCTCTTCTTCATGTCTCTTCTACATCAACATGTGTCCCCTCTTCTTCATGTCTCTTCTACATCAAACATGTGTCCCCTCTTCTTCATGTCTCTTCTACATCAACATGTGTCCCCTCTTCTTCATGTCTCTTCTACATCAACATGTGTCCCCTCTTCTTCATGTCTCTTCTACATCAACATGTGTCCCCTCTTCTTCATGTCTCTTCTACATCAACATGTGTCCCCTCTTCTTCATGTCTCTTCTACATCAACATGTGTCCCCTCTTCTTCATGTCTTTTCTACATCAACATGTGTCCCCTCTTCTTCATGTCTCTTCTACATCAACATGTGTCCCCTCTTCTTCATGTCTCTTCTTCATCAACATGTGTCCCCTCTTCTTCATGTCTCTTCTACATCAACATGTGTCCCCTCTTCTTCATGTCTCTTCTACATCAACATGTGTCCCCTCTTCTTCATGTCTCAGAAAACAGGTTATCAAAAGTGCAAATCAAATCACACATGTGCTCCTAATCAGACAGAAATCTACCTATTCAAGACACAACAAGTCCTGAGCCATACAAACAATACACTGTTTTAATTAAAGCTTCCTCACTGAAAACCCAACCATCAATCTGGAATACCAAAAACAATTGAGTATAAAACTTTAAGACACTCAACACTTTGTTACTTTGACAGGGATTTATTCTTAGTTTGTCTAAAGCTCCACAGAGTCAACAATTATTGTGTTGATCTAACAAAATGTTTCTCTGTGCGTGTCTCTGTAGCGGCCTGCTGCAGTGTCTGCAGAGCGAGTTAAAGAAACACCTGCCGACGTTTCTGATCGATCCGGAGCAGCACGGAGCTCTGCCTGCTGGGATAGGTACCGCTTCATTATCCATGCATAGTGCAGACTGTTTAAATAACGTTTTTTTGTTTCAGAGTTGGTGTTGAACATCCTGATGACCTGCATGTCTCTGCTGCGGCACTGCGTCCTGTTTAAAGTTTTTTTTAATGCACTACAAAAACTCGAAATCTTGCCAAGTGTATTTGTCTAATATCTAGTCAGAATATGTGTCTACTCCTGATATAAGACATAGTAACTTCAGAAGTAACACTGCAGTGAGATATCAGGTCTTGTTTTTAGACAATGCATCATCATGCTAAGTCAAAAAATCCTATTTTGAGTTGTATCTCATTTTTTTACATATTTATTATCAGAAAACAGAAAACCTTTGAGCATTTAAGGGTTATATTGTAACACAACATTTCCTGATTCTGGTCAAATATAGTTGTCCCAGCTAATTACAAGATCGGAGTTATCTAAATATCCCATCTCATTTCAAGAAATCTTACCAAGCTAATTTTCACTTGTTCTATTGGCAGATTTTTGTACTTATTTCAAGTGAAAACAGCTTGTTTTCAATATTGTTTAACTTGTTTTTGGAGCAGCATTTTTTCCAGTGTGTTTCAGAGTTGGTTCTGAACACCCTGATGAACGGCATGTCTCTGCTGCGGCACGGCGGCCTGTTTAAATAAAGTTGTTCTCATGTTTCAGAGTTGGTTCTGAACACCCTGATGAACGGCATGTCTCTGCTGCGGCGCTGCAGGGTTAACCCCGCCCTCACCATCCAGCTCTTCTCGCAGCTCTTCCACTTCATCAGCTGCTGGCTCTTTAACCAGCTGATGGTCCCAGAGCCCGGGGCCCCCGGCCTGCGCTCTCACTACTGGGGGGCCGCTCTGCGTCAGAGGCTGAGCGCCATCGAGGGCTGGGCGGAGAGGCAGGGCCTGGAGCTGGCTGCTGACTGCCACCTGGGACACATCCTCCAGGTCAGACCCTCCGAGACCACACGTCTGAATATTTATATAAAAAAGATTGGACTGGGATTTATTTAGTATTGAAGCAAGGTCTTCTTACCCCAATATGCAACTGGGAAATGCATGGTCTTATCTGACAGTTTATTAGGATTTTATGTTAATGTATGATTATTATTATTTTGTATTATTTAGGTTTTATTAGGATTTTAATTCGTTTTTGTAAAATATTTATATTTCAGATTTTTAAAAATTCAGGATTTTGTTATTTAAATAGGCTTTTTATGATGTTTTTTTTTCTACCTTAAAACCTCAGAATAAAGATTATTTTCACCATTTATTACCAGGGCTGTACTAATTTTTTTTTACATTTAAAACTTATATTGAGGTTTTCGAATTAAATGTTAAAATCAGACGTCATATTCCTTAACGTTATCACCTAAAAAACCTGGAAAATAATAGATTTTTTTAAGGGCTGCCACTAACGAAAATGTTGAAAATATCCATCCCAGTTTCTCAGAGTCCAAGATGTCCAAAGATATTCACTTTATATGATATAAAACAGAGAAAAGCAGCAAACCTCCAGATTAGAGAGGCTGGAAACTGTAAAGACATTTCTAAAGGAACAATTACTTTTACAATGAATCCACTTAAAAACAGTTGGAGACATTATTTTCTGTGGGTCGACTACAAGTTGCAGCTCTATATTTTGAGTTATTGTTCTTATATTAAAATAATTGATGTTGCTGTTATTTAATACAGGTGCATGCTTTCCTTTGTATGATTTGAGCGCAGTAGTCTTTCAGGCTAAACGGCAACACATAAGAATTGCAGCAGAATATTTGGTTAGATACACATTTAAAAAGTTCAATTTTGGACTTTACAACGCTCTGGAGTAATATCTAAAACATTCAATTTAGCAAACACTGCATTTAAATGTATCTACTAATAATATAATATTAATCAGGGTTTAGTCTGAACCGGGGAACAGGTGCGCTGCGCTCTCATACCAAAATGCAGATTTTCCAAGTGATGCCAGCAAACAATATTTCTGTTTGTCGAAAATGGTGTAATTTCTCCAAAAATATGAAAATCGTGTCAAATAGAGCGTCAGACGGCATAGAGAGCTTTGTTTTTACGGGGCACTGACATGTGTTTTTGTTTACGTTCGCGCCGCCATCTTGTATACGGGCGTCATGTTCTCGTGAGAATTGATATATCTTATATACAAGATCAGCGCCAAAGTATTGCCCTCATACTATATTTTCCTGGAAAAACCCCTGCTAGCATTTTTGATTTTTAAAACAAATTTTATTTGCATTTGTTTTAAACATACACCCACCCTGCAAAAGAGTCGGAACAAACCTAATACATTACACAATCAAATACATAAATAAACAGATTTTCATGACTACCAAATAAATATCATTTGAAAACCCCATTTGAAAGCGTTTTACCCATTTAAAAACATCCTCTTTTACACACTTTAAAAACAAAGACTACACCTATCCTTCAAAACTTCAATATTAGAGAGTCCTTCTCCCCCAGTGAGCACAGAACCTGCCCAACAGCCCACACATCCAGAACCCCCTGCAGACGATTGATCAGCGTATAGTACGCATGCTCCACCCTCAGACGCGCTGCCACCAGCCCCCTCAGACAGAGCACTGCATCCGTCCATCCCACTCCAGCAACTTGGTTCTTTCTACTTTTCCTCAAAAATGATTGCTCATTTTGCATTAGCAAACAAGAAATGTATCAGTACTAGAGTTTCCCTCTTTTTCAGGAATTATTTGAGGCCATGGAAAACCTCCCCGAACCCTTCCACCCACCCCTGTAACATTTTTTTAAGACCAGCCAATCTGGGACAGGACACCACTAAATGTTCCAATGTTTCTGCTATAAAACAGAACGGACAGCCCCCCCTTGTGCCTGGGTCAAAATGAGCTCTGTATTTGTTAGTGGCTATTGCACCGTGTATAACTCTCCATTGGATGTCAGCCATCCCCTGCTAGTATTAGTGTCGACTCATTTTTGAACATAGAGATGCAAACCAAACAGGTGTTTTACAATTCGAATGTGAACTCTGCATAAAACGTCTCTGTTTGTAAGGTGACACATTTCTGATGTTGTAGCTATGCAGTTTGTATCTCAGCACACACTTCAGTCGGTACTAGCAATGTAAATAGCTTTGTCGTCTGTTTCCAGGCAACCACGCTCCTGACCATGAACAAGTACAGCCTGCAGGACGTGAAGGTGGTGGTGAACAGCTGCTTCAGACTCAACTCTCTGCAGCTGCACACCTTACTGTCAGGATACCTGTACGCCAACAACGAGCCCCACATCCCCCCCGTGAGTCCTGGAACACCATAGACTGTATATAAAGCTTCACACCTGTAGCTACACTGCACTCAGGCCACTTTCCATGTTTACAACTACAGTATGATGATGCACTTAGGGATCCTTTCAAAAGGATGGGTGAGATCTTTAAGAATAGCTTGTCATAAAATAAAAGTACTCATCGAGGCTTAAGGTGAGACACTACCACACTACAGGTGAATAGGGTAAAACATGATATCACAATGAAACCTATCCACCTCATTACTGACATTAAAGGTCCCATGTCTCATGGCCATTTCTACTGATCATAATTCCATTGTTGAGGTCTACTAGAATAGATTTACATTGTTCAATGTTCCAAACTCACATTGGTTTCTCATACAGCATCTCTGTATAGTATGTGTATTCACTCTCTGTCCTATACACGCCTTGTTGGAGCTCCTGACCCCCCCTCCCTATGAGCCCACTGTGCTCTGATTGGTCAGCTCGCCCACTCTGTTCTGATGAGTCCACCACCGTTACAGCTGGACATCAGTGTTTATGTGTTTTACAATGGCGTTTGTTAGCAACCAGAAAAGGACACCAGTAATGACAAACAGAGGAGAATGCTGCATGGGGTCTGGGTGCCGTGTTGGCGGGACGTTGCGGGGCTCGCTGCTCTGCCCTTTGAGGCTCGAGGAGCGGACAGTGTGAGCTGGATTACTGATGTTGTTTCCTGGTTGCTGCGTGGGGTCTGCGAGACAGCGAGACAGGGAGACAGCGATACGGAGGCTAAATAAAGTTCTCAGAGTACTTTTTATTTTATTTAGAAAAGGAGCTGGCCATCAGTAACAAACAGACATTTGTATTACACGGTTTAGTTGAATACTCGATTCTGATTGGTCCATTCAGAACATGTGACACGTTGTTAATCCAGTAGTACAGACCGCTGTCAAGGACTGTAATGACCGTTGCTAAGGAGGATCAAGAAAGAGAAAAGAGGTTAAAATAAAAAAAGATCTTAATAATGAAATGTTTCCACACAAATCATAATGTTTTGCAAATTATTTGGCGGCCCACTTGCAATGCCTTCGCGGACCACTAGGGGCCCCGGCCCACAGGTTGGGAACCGCTGCACTACAGTCATCAGCAGGAATGTCCTCAGTATTCCCAGCAGCAGATTGAGCCTCCCTGTCTCAGAGTGACTCATCTGAACAACCTTTATCCCGAATACTGTCTGTCTTCAGGAGGTGGTGGAAGCCGTGGTGTTGCTGTCTGGGTCCACAGCGGATCAGCTGATCCTGAGCGAGGGTCGGGAGGTGTTTCTGCAGGAGAGTCTGGACCTGCAGCTGCCCTTCCTGCTGCCTGAGGGGGGGGTACAGCTGCTCCTCCATCACAGGGACCCCTGCTGGGCTGAGGGACTTCCTGGAGCCCATCTGCAGGAAAGGTCTGGGATTCTCATGCTCTGTCATATATATTAAATATGAAAATACTGTTAAACACTTACTTTTATTTAAGGCATTTTTACTTAAAGGGGACCTATCATGCAAAATGCACTTTTGTACGTCTTTTCTACATGAATATGTGTCCCCGGTGTTCCAGGGAACTCACCAAGTGTCAGAAAACACAACCCTCTCTATTTTCCTCCATACCCAAATCTCTAAAAAAGGGGCTGCAACGGATCTGATAAAAACTGATCCAGATTTGAACACTGTCCTGACGTCAGGACGGTGGCGCTACGGCTATTGGGCCAACTCCACCAATCAGGAGGAGACAGCCACGGCCATTGCCGTTCGAAAGCGCTGGAGACGCTGTAGTACATATGCCAGGCCTGTAGGTGGTGCTGTTCTCACTGAATCAGCCCTTGCAAAAACAGATCTAAAAAATGTCAAATTGAGCAAAATGAGGCATGGCTAAAATGCATGATCTGTTTGGTATTTTGAAAAAAAAAAAGTATAAATATGCCTTATATAGGTATGGTCCTACACTATATTATTCAAATATAGCATGATAGGTCCACTTTAATATATATTTATTTTAATTTTAATCTCTTTATTTTTTAATCTTAAAATAGAATATATTATTATTATAATTATATTTATAATATTAATTATTCTTATTATGTATCCAAGCCTTTTTACTTCATATCTTATATTATACTTATTATAATTAATTGTATTTTTTTTTATATTTAACTAAGAATATTAACCTAATATCTGGTATTATTATGATTATTACTTTGTTTACAAATATTCATATTGTTATAATTATTAATAATGTCATTATTATTATATTTTTTATATCACTAACTTTGTCTATTTGACTTATTATTTACTACCACTATCTCTCCATGTATAAAGGTATTTACCGTGGGCTTTTGAATGTCCGGAAAGAGGCGTTGAAATGTATAAACTGAACTGTACGATACAGAAATAAAATAAATACAATATTAAAGAAAACAAAAAAGCTAAATGTTTGTTTCTCCTCCAGGTCTGTGCTGTTTAACGTCTCAGCCGAACTCCAGAGGAGACTGGACCGTGTTCTTCAGGGAAACGGATTCCTCTGAAGAGAGCACATTCATGGTAACATACAACACATGATGTTCAAATATAATAACATGTTCAAATATAAAACACTTATGGATCACTCAGTACATTACTTTCATCTACAGCAGCGGTTCCCAACCTTTTTCAACTCAGGGCCCACTTAAGAATCTAAAACATGTTCGCGCCCCACATTCAACCATAAACAATACGGAGGCTAAATAAAGTTCTCAGAGTACTTTTTATTTTAATTAGAAAAGGAGCTGGCCATCAGTAACAAACAGACATTTGTATTACACGGTTTAGTTGAATACTCGATTCTGATTGGTCCATTCAGAACATGTGACACGTTGTTAATCCAGTAGAACAGACCGCTGTCAAGGACTGTAATGACCGTTGCTAAGGAGGATCGAGAAAGAGAAAGGAAAAGAGGTTCAAATACAAAAAAATCTTAATAATGAAAATGTTTCCACACAAATCATAACGTTTTGCTAATTATTTGGCGGCCCACTTGCAATGCCTTCGCGGGCCACTAGGGGCCCCGGCCCACAGGTTGGGAACCGCTGCTCTACAGGAACCATACGAATGCCTAAAGTTTAAGGATGTATAATTTAAACCTCCATTTTGATGTGTTACAGCTCAGCTTCCAGTTTTTCTAGCAACAGATTTGAACTCTTAGCTTCTTGACGTTAAACAGTTCACCTTCAAATTCGTCCCTTCTTTATTTAATTGATGTAACATTTCAGGAATGCAAAGCAACGTATTTGCACTTAAAAGTTGTCAAAGATGCTTTGAAACTTCAGCTTTCATCATCCTCACGTATTTTCTGCAGGAGTTGCATGTTGTAGTTTATTTATTTGTGTTTTCTTCACCAGGCCGTCCACAGAGAGCCGGAGGTGGAGACGATCACTCTGAAGAAACCTCTCAACAGCGGGATGGGGGTCAGCATCGTGGCTGCTAAGGTGAACGCATCAAACTCTGAAAATTAGAGAGGACAGGTCTCAGGTGTATATCAGTATGTAGTGTCTCTACTTTAAAGAGTCCTCTCCTGCTGATGTTCAGGTGTATATCAGTATGTAATGGAGTGTGGACTTCTACTTGGAGAGGTCCCAGTTCACCTCCTGCCCTGCCGTGGTGCCCTTGAGCAAGGCACCGGACACCCCCCTTCCCCCCCACTCCCATTGCTCCCCGGGCGCTGTACAATAGCTGCCCACTGCTCCTAGTACTAGACTCCTTGTACTAGGATGGGTTAAAAGCAGAGGCCAAATTTCACTGTGTGTGCTGTGTGCTCTGCATGTGTGACCATTAAAGAGGGTTTCATCCCTCCCTATTCTTCTCTATTCTTCTAATGTCTCTACTTTAAAGAGTCCTCTCCTGCTGATGTTCAGGTGTATATCAGTATGTAGTGTCTCTACTTTAAAGAGTCCTCTCCTGCTGATGTTCAGGTGTATATCAGTATGTAGTGTCTCTACTTTAAAGAGTCCTCTCCTGCTGATGTTCAGGTGTATATCAGTATGTAGTGTCTCTACTTTAAAGAGTCCTCTCCTGCTGATGTTCAGGTGTATATCAGTATGTAGTGTCTCTACTTTAAAGAGTCCTCTCCTGCTGGTGTTCAGGTGTATATCAGTATGTAGTGTCTCTACTTTAAAGAGTCCTCTCCTGCTGATGTTCAGGTGTATATCAGTATGTAGTGTCTCTACTTTAAAGAGTCCTCTCCTGCTGATGTTCAGGTGTATATCAGTATGTAGTGTCTCTACTTTAAAGAGTCCTCTCCTGCTGATGTTCAGGTGTATATCAGTATGTAGTGTCTCTACTTTAAAGAGTCCTCTCCTGCTGATGTTTAGGTGTATATCAGTATGTAGTGTCTCTACTTTAAAGAGTCCTCTTCTGCTGGTGTTCAGGTGTATATCAGTATGTAGTTTCTCTACTTTAAAGAGTCCTCTACTGCTGGTGTTCAGGTGTATATCAGTATGTAGTGTCTCTACTTTAAAGAGTCCTCTCCTGCTGATGTTCAGGTGTATATCAGTATGTAGTGTCTCTACTTTAAAGAGTCCTCTCCTGCTGATGTTCAGGTGTATATCAGTATGTAGTGTCTCTACTTTAAAGAGTCCTCTCCTGCTGGTGTTCAGGTGTATATCAGTATGTAGTGTCTCTACTTTAAAGAGTCCTCTCCTGCTGATGTTCAGGTGTATATCAGTATGTAGTGTCTCTACTTTAAAGAGTCCTCTCCTGCTGATGTTCAGGTGTATATCAGTATGTAGTGTCTCTACTTTAAAGAGTCCTCTCCTGCTGATGTTCAGGTGTATATCAGTATGTAGTGTCTCTACTTTAAAGAGTCCTCTCCTGCTGATGTTCAGGTGGATATCAGTATGTAGTGTCTCTACTTTAAAGAGTCCTCTCCTGCTGATGTTCAGGTGTATATCAGTATGTAGTGTCTCTACTTTAAAGAGTCCTCTCCTGCTGATGTTCAGGTGTATATCAGTATGTAGTGTCTCTACTTTAAAGAGTCCTCTCCTGCTGATGTTCAGGTGTATATCAGTGTGTAGTGTCTCTACTTTAAAGAGTCCTCTCCTGCTGATGTTCAGGTGTATATCAGTATGTAGTGTCTATACTTTAACACCTACAGTATAGAACACACTACAGCGTCTTTGAAAACACCAAAACTATCTGCTATTGAATGAATTCTCTTTTTTTCGGCTCCAGGGAGCGGGCAGGGCAAACCTCGGGATTTATATCAAATCTATTGTGAAGGGAGGACCGGCTGAAATGGTGAGAGATAATGCATTTCTGATTCAGTTTAATAGAATATTTCACCAAAACAACTCTCTGTATATCGGTTAACCCCCCCCCCCCCCCCCCCCCTCTTTATATCTTGTAGAAAATAGTGTTTTTCTCTCATGCCTCCACTGTGAACAGAGTATCCAAAATGTTATAAAAGTCCTATTGAACGGAAGTTTTAACAACAGCAAAACTATTTGAAATCATCCGTTTACAAACTCATGCAGAATAATTAAGTCTCCCTTACCTTATGCTCTCTGCTGCACTCACACAGGACTGTTATCAGAAACTGCACTATTTTAAACTTCTGTCATCCAGACTTTACTAGTGTTGTGGGTGATTCGTTCACTGTAGAGGCATGGAGGCATGGGAGAAAGCTTTCTTCACAAATGTAAAGTCATTCATTCAAAGATGGTTATGTGTTGGGTACATTTTGCCTTTGACTTGAGATGTGGAGTCTGCAGAATGATTAACAACGTGAGTGTGCAACTGTGGCTGTGAGGGGGTGCGGTCGTCTTTCAACCAGAAGGTTATTGGTTCGATCCCAGCCCGTGCAGTCAACATGTGGATGTATCCTTGGGCGTGTGCGTGTGTGTGTGTGTGTGTGTGTGTGTGTGTCCCTAGAGCAAGTGGTACTGCTCTGAATGAATGAGTGAATGACTTGTAGTATGTAAAGCGCTATAGTCTATGTATTTATTTAAAGACAACAAAATAAATGGATTAACTTTGATTTGAGCAGAACGGCAGGTTGACAGCGGGGGATCAGCTGCTCAGTGTCGACGGCCACAGTCTGGTTGGACTCAGTCAGGAAAGGTAATGCCTTTTATTTAAAAAAAGAAATGCCTGGTTAAAGTTTAAAATCTTAAATATCACAACATTTATTTGAAAAAACATTCACTCCTCCAGAAGTTATATCTTAATCACTTTCATGACTTTTCTTTGAGTGAAAAGTCTTGCAGCTTTTGATGTATTGCAATGAGGTTTCTGAGTAATTATACCGTTTTTGACGAACAGAAATATTGTTTTCTGGCATCACTTTAACATTTTACTGGGAAAATCTGCATTTTGGTATTAGGGCGCACGCCCAAAGTAAGAGGGCGCAGCACCCCTGCTACCCGGTTTACACAAAACCCTTTATATATTTTAAAGAAGTTAACATGAATCAACATGAACACTTGAGTCCATCATGTAAATGAGCCAGATTTAGCAATAGAGGCTAATTCTCATATTTTTTCCTTTTTTTTTATACTTTTATTGTCATTACACAGTGGGCCTACTTACTATGTAACGAAATGGTTTCTCTGCATTTGACCCATCCTACGTAGTGTTAGGAGCAGTCCCTGTCAGGTTAATGGCTTAAAGGTCCCCTATTATACTGTTTTTCATCAATATATTACAGGTCTCAGATATATACAAACATGTCTCTGAAGTGTTTGGCTCCAAACACCAAACAGATCATTGCAGCATTACCCATAATCCCCTCTGTTTCAGCCCTGTTTCAAAAGTGCTGATTCTCTGTCTGTTACTTTAGATGAAAATAAGGAGCCCCTCCCCACGCCCCTCTGAGAGAGATTTGGTTACAAAGAACACAATGGTGCTCTAGGAGGAGATTCAGGTGATAAGGGGGGGGGGGGGGGGGGTTACCTTGGTTGGTGATTGGCTAATGGTTACACAAGCCAAACAATCGTTATGACATCATAAAGTGGCCAAAATCTGATCAGCTCATTTTCAGACAGGTTTTTATAGAAATGGATCAGGACAAAAAGAGAGAGAATCTTTGTTCCTGAAACTTTCAGAGTCTCTTTACACAGAGGGGACACATGTTGATGTAGAAGAGACATGAAGAAGAGGGGACACATGTTGATGTAGAAGAGACATGAAGAAGAGGGGACACATGTTGAAGAGGGGACACATGTTGATGTAGAAGAGACATGAAGAAGAGGGGACACATGTTGAAGAGGGGACACATGTTGAAGAGGGGACACATGTTGATGTAGAAGAGACATGAAGAAGAGGGGACACATGTTGAAGAGGGGACACATGTTGATGTAGAAGAGACATGAAGAAGAGGGGACACATGTTGATGTAGAAGAGACATGAAGAAGAGGGGACACATGGTGATGTAGAAGAGACATGAAGAAGAGGGGACACATGTTGATGTAGAAGAGACATGAAGAAGAGGGGACACATGTTGATGTAGAAGAGACATGAAGAAGAGGGGACACATGTTGATGTAGAAGAGACATGAAGAAGAGGGGACACATGTTGATGTAGAAGAGACATGAAGAAGAGGGGACACATGTTGATGTAGAAGAGACATGAAGAAGAGGGGACACATGTTGATGTAGAAGAGACATGAAGAAGAGGGGACACATGTTGATGTAGAAGAGACATGAAGAAGTGGATTTTGCATAGAGGTGACCTTTAAAATGTGCAAAATATACACAATAATCTGCAAATTCACCATATTTTGTCGGGGGAATGGCCTGAAATACTACTGAAATGTAATATAATATAAAATAATCCTACTTGTTGCAGGGCAGCAGCGATCATGATGCACACCGGCCCCGTGGTGGCGCTACAGGTGGAGAAGTCTGCAGCGAGGCTCCACGGCCTGGAGGCTCTGCTGACAGACACACAGAGGAACACAGGTGAGTAACCAAACACTATGAAGAGTTTTTTATATTCCTGCTGGTCATGAGTCTTTAAATGAAAACCTTTGCTTGCTCGTGAAGGCGATCAAAGCCAGGCTAAACCCATGAGCGGAGAGACTGTGCTGCTGCAGGGAGGAAACAGGAGGCGCAGAGAACAGCTGATGCAGAAAAACAGACAGCTGTTCCGATCCAACCCAAACATGACCGGTGAGACAGAAATACACATTTATCTCCACATGTAAAACAATACATCAAAATCCACATCCAGGAGTTTTTTCACTAACTTTTGTGTCTGCAGATTGCCTTGTTTTACCCTTATCACCTAAAGTGTATTTATTATTTTGTCTTTGTTTCTTCAGATTTTTCCCCTGAAGATGAAGCTGTTGTGAGAGGAAACAACATGGCTGCTGTCTCCAGTGTGAACCTCTGTGCTGCTGATGTGAGATGTCTCTAGATTTATCAGATTCTTTCCGTACAATTCAAATACAATGTGCTCAATTCACAGCAAGACTTTAAACACCAGGTCTAAAAAGTAGACATATTTGACTTTGTAATGTTTAAATTGACCAGAAAACATGCTAAAACTACTGTGTGGTAATATTAAAAAGTGAATTTGGAGTGTCTTCTTTTTTCTTTTTGTATTCCTTGTAACATTTTTTAAATCACTATAAATAAGAGTGTGAGCTAAATAAAGATGAATGCATTGTTTGACGTCATTAAATACGTGTTTTCTCAGGCGTATCACAGGGAGTATTTGACCCTCCCGACCCCTAAGTCCTCTCAGGAGAAGAAGAGGTCTGACTCCGCTCTGCAAACCTTCACCGTGTCTCTGAAACCTGCAGAGAGCAGCAGGACCTGCATGGTGAGGATCATTATCTAATACTACAGAGTCTACAAATCCAGTCAAATTGGGGTAAACTTTTGCAATAATGCTCGTCACATAAAGTTACATCGCTCTAGGAGTAATTGACCTCAATAATTGAATGTGTTACATGAAGACCACCACGGAGAGACACAGGAGGTCTTTCCTCCCAGTGGCCATCAAACTATACAACTCTTTACCCTTCAGTAGAGAGACATGTCACACCACCACTATGTGCAATATTATTATTATTATAATTAATGCTCGATAAATAACGTGCAATTACGTAACTACCACTACGGTTTTTTTGCACTACTAAATACTGTTAATATGTACATTAATTATGTGACCTTCTATGTTTCCTGTAGTTATTGAATTGCTCTTTTTACTGCACTGTTAGTGTACAGTTGTATTATTATTGTGCTGCTGTGTTTATTGTATTTTTGTAATTCTGGCACAACAATTTCCTTCGGGATAAATAAAGTCTTATCTTGTCTGCTGTATTTCCCGGTCTATCCCCTCCTGCAGCGCCAGGCTCTGTCCCAGGAGAACCTGTGTGTGGACAGGGACAGAGAAAGCGACCGACAGCGCCCCCTGCTGGACGGGAGACAGGCGGCTCTGAGAAACCTCCCCTCCTTCCCTCTGAGGTCCTGTGTTTCCACTGACCTGCTCTCAGAGAGACAGCAGGGGGTCCGCAGCAGCAGCAGCAGTGCCGGCGTCTGGAGGAACCCGTTCCCCCAGAACCCGTTCCCCCAGAACCCGTTCCCCCAGAACCAGACCCCGACTCCCTCCTCTCAGCCGGTCCGCATCGACATCCCCCTCCCCCGAACCGTCAGCTCCAGACCTCCTCTCACCTCCTTCCTGCAGGGGAGCAGAGTCAGAGTCAGTGATGGAAGCCTCCAGAGACCCTCCTCCAATAAACCCCAGGTCAGCATCCCCTTGGACTGTTTGTGTCTTGTGTCTTAATTTCTCTCATGTACATTGCCCTTTTTTTTATGCTGCTGCAACGCAAAACATTTCCCAAATTGGGATCAATAAAGTACCTATCTATCTATCTATCTATCCATCCATCTATCCATCTATCTATCTATCTATCTATCTATCCATCTATCTATCTATCTATCTATCTATCCATCCATCTATCCATCTATCTATCTATCTATCCATCTATCTATCTATCTATCAATAAACCCCAGGTCAGCATCCCCTCCTCCAATCAAAGTCAAGTCAAAGTCAACTTTATTGCCAATCTTTCAGTTTGTGTGTACAGACAGAGAGATCGAAATACCGTTTCGCACAATCCCGAATACAAAAACAAGTATATATAAAAATATGTGTGCAAATATGATTCTACCTATATACACACAATCAAAAGACACATTTATACATATGCACACATTAAGACCTAAATAAAAGCACAACAATCAATATACAAAATAACACAAAATAACTGTCACTTCAATATCTTTGAGAATGTGCATTAGTGCAAAACTGTCCGTAGCAGCGTAACAAAAAGTGCCTGGTGCTGGATTTGGGTGTCTGCGTGTGTGGGGTGTTAATAATAATAATAATGATAAACCCCAGGTCAGCATCCTCTCCTCCAATAAAACCCAGTTCAGTAGTGCTCCAAAGTAACCTCTTAAAGGTGGGGTAGGTAAGTTTGAGAAACCGGCTCGAGATACACTTTTTGTTATATTCCATGGAATGCTCTTAACATCCTGATAGCAATGAATATCTAAAGTGCTTTGACAAAAAATCCATTAAAAAATGTAATCTGTGGAAGCAGTAGTACTGTAAAAAGCACGACCAATCATCTGAGCCGGCTCGGCTAAAATAACTGGATGGCCTACCTGCCTGTCAGCCTTCCATCTGGGCACAAACTTATCTCGTGCCCTCATTGGTCATGTGCGCGTTCGTGTGTGTTGGAGGAGGGGCTCTATAAGGAAGTGGCAGATTTTTTCCGGTTGTGTATTTTCAAATTCTACGCACTCGAGCTGGTTTCTCCAAAATGACCTACCCCACCTTTAAGCGCAGGGGCCTATTTTTCAGGCCTCAGGCTCAAAAATGACATGCCCCGAATGAATGAGTATATCTTCACAACTAAAAGGGGTGTATGAATAATCTTGTTATCAAAGCAATGCTACGCCTGTGAGTTGGCTGTAGAAGTGTCACAATCAATATAGATGTTGCTGTGTCAGTCAATTCAGATTGAACATAATAAAAAATGTGTATGTTTCAATGTTTTGCTGCAAGATCTGAGTACTTCTCCAAACCTCTGCAGGTCAGCATCCCCCCCACCAAACACGTCTCCTTCCAGGACCCCCCCGCCTGGAAAAGGGAGGCGCAGGAGAAGCATGCGTCGCAGCAGCTGATGCAGCAGCAAGTGCAGGATCTGCAGGGGAAGGAGCGTCGCATGGCGGAGGAGAGCGCCCGTCTGACGAGGCTCAGCGTGGAGGCTCAGTTCCAGAAGAGGCTGCAGGAGAGAGAGGAGGAAGACGAGGAGGAGGAAGAGGAGGAAGAGGAGGAGGAGATGATGCTGACCTTACAACAGCTGGAGAGGAGGGCACAGGTATGAACTCAAGGCATTCTGGGAAATGTAGGCTAAGTCAAGAAGATGACATGTTCTGAAAAGTGTTGTCAAATATCAGGATCACATAATAATGATTTATACAAATGTATATAAATAACCACTTTATGCATTTATGATTGGGATTAAAATTGCTTTAGTGTTTTGGTGCATACATATACAGAGTAAGAGGAATACAAAAGCAAAAATAAGAGCAAATATATATATGTTTTAAATACAAAAAAAACTATTGAATTTAAAAATAAAAATGTGTTCAAGAAAATAAATACCTATATTTCTTTTTAAATATATTTACGTATTATTATGAATAACAACCATAATAACACATTGCATTTATATAGCACTTTTCTAAATACTCAAAAATGCACTAGTCCGAAACCTCCCTCATTAATAAGGCAATAATAACATGATGCATTACTAGATCTACATTTAGTCAAATTGTAAATCCTGACATGTTGCACTTCTTCTCCACACCGTCAGGGAATCATTTCCCCTGCATGTTCTCCTTCGCCCTCTGACGCAGATGCTCCAACCTTGAGCAGCCGTTATCTCCCATAAGGAGGGGCTGCCCTAGCATTTTGTTGTTGTTACCAGTTTGTGACCGGGCAGCTGTCGGTCAGAGATAGTCATTGTTGTGGGATACCTGGAACACATCCTTCTCACGGTGTAGATGACCCCGAGCCATAAGTGACAACAAATGTGATTCAGTGTCCCTCAGCTGTTTAGTCTATCTATTGAAGAATGTTGATTATTACACTCTGAACTAGTTAAAACCTCGAGCTACAGGAGGGCTCTTCAGAATTGGTTGTGGCGTCTCAACCGTGTGGTCAGACCGTGGCCCGTGACATGTCGTGTGAATTCTCCGGCCGAAGCTCCAAATAAACCGTCAGTGTTTCCATCAAAGCTCCAGCTCTCCTCGTGTCTCTTTGAGTCCTGACTCCATCAAAGCTCCAGCTCTCCTCGTGTCTCTCTGAGTCCTGACTCCATCAAAGCTCCAGCTCTCCTCGTGTCTCTCTGAGTCCTGACTCCATCAAAGCTCCAGCTCTCCTCGTGTCTCTCTGAGTCCTGACTCCATCAAAGCTCCAGCTCTCCTCGTGTCTCTTTGAGTCCTGACTCCATCAAAGCTCCAGCTCTCCTCGTGTCTCTCTGAGTCCTGACTCCATCAAAGCTCCAGCTCTCCTCGTGTCTCTCTGAGTCCTGACTCCATCAAAGCTCCAGCTCTCCTCGTGTCTCTCTGAGTCCTGACTCCATCAAAGCTCCAGCTCTCCTGGTGTCTCTCTGAGTCCTGACTCCATCAAAGCTCCAGCTCTCCTCGTGTCTCTCTGAGTCCTGACTCCATCAAAGCTCCAGCTCTCCTCGTGTCTCTCTGAGTCCTGTGTCCCATTGCTTCAGAAGTTTCCCACACACACACACACTACCTCTTTTTAATCAGCACTCCACTTTAAATAGAGTATAGTGTGAATTTGGAACAGTCCTATTTTTATTTTATTTCGTTTTTCCACGTATACCAAAGTAAATTCCAAACCCATTCTGATTCTGATCCAAGCATTCAAACATATGCTTCTCCCAATCTCTCTGAGACGTGTTGTTATGTTTTATAAATACATAACAAAGGAAAACACCATAATGTATGTCCCACTTCCTCGTTACCTGTAGAGACATTAGAATGATAAAGCCAATGTTAAAAAAAGCCACAATAACCTTTAATTATCAATTTCTATATTTAGAGCAAGCAGCTTTCTGCAGTAACCGCTGAACTGAAAGAGTCTGCAGGGAGTCGTCTCGCCCAGAAGGAACACAAGACAAAGACGGGTAAATATTCATTTAATTTATTCAGAAGAGTATTATCAAGGCTTTATCGTACGGTGCAACATTTTCATGCTTTTTTGCAGAACAAAAGAGCGCATCGAGTCGAGACGTTGACAACGTGGCAGCGAAACAGTGAGTTTACACTTTTTTGGCATTTAATGAAATCTAACAGTTAATGCAGCATTTCTACTCAAGCACAAGTTATATCACATCAAAAACTATTTTCATAATAGTTTAAAGAGTACATTTTCATTTTGAGCCTCTTAAATATTAAGATTTGCTTCATTTTTAAGCTTTAACGTCATATTTAAGTGAATATATAGAGTTTTGGCTTGACAAAACAAGGCATTTGAGAAACTCAACTGGACTTTTTTTTACCATTTCATAGACATTCAATGCGGAAAATAACCATCAGATTAATGTAAAATGAAACTAATCTCACACCAAGCTCCTAAATTCAGTCTAATCTACTTTTCCGTAGACATTATAGCGTTTTAATCTTGATCCCTGAGTAAAAAGTATATTTTAAAGACAGTACAGGCTCCCGTTTGTGTCCCCTTGCATGAAGTGATTCCCCATAAATAAATTCAAGTATTCCCGCTGATATATTTCTGTTTACTCTCAGGAACCAGGAGGAAGTGAAGCGAGCGCCGGCTCCGGAGCAGCTCACCTTTAAGGAGCGCCAGCGGCTCTTCTCTCTGGCCTCCAGCGCGTAAACCGAGGTTTCAGAATGTAAACAGAAACCTCATCAGAAACAGAACAGTCCTAACGTGCTGAGCTAAGAGACAATTATAACACCCTATAATATTTACTGTAGAAATGTTTGTATTAGCTACTGAGTGTAATATTGTTGAATTATTATCACCTGTTTAAACTGTAGTCCTGTATTTTATTATTCTTAGATAATAAAGTCTTTATTTAGTCAAATGATTCAGGCACTTATTGCATGATTAGGCGAGACACTACAGGTTTTTGACTATTCTGCATTTATAACATGTCTTCTTTGAGACTAGAAAATTCAGGAGTTTATTTAACTAACTTTTTCTGTTTGTGACCCGCTCTATCGATATCAGTCGGATGTCGCATTGATAGATAATCTTGAAATGATGTCAAAAACTGTAGATTTTACACATAAAAAAAGTCTTGGCTTTCGGAAAATGGAACTTTTATCGCCATGTTCAGAAGAAAAATACGTTTCTGAAGCTTGTAAAGACAGTATGACAACTTCAGCGATCACCGTCTCCTCTGAAAATCAACTTTAAAAACTATTTTGATAATAGTTTCAAAAGTAATATTTAATTATAATGCAGAAATGTCATAAAAGGACACCTCTTAAAGCCTGGATGTTTGCTCATCATATTAAAAAGTATATCTCTGATCTAGTGTTGGTCCTAACAGGGGGCCAGGGGTGCTATTCCCCCAAAATATTAAGCCTTCAGCCCCCTTTTTAAATAACTATGGCTAAAAACAAAGTCAGCTAACTTTGAAGGACAACTACAGTTAAAGGACACCATGGGAAAGCAATCTCCTCTTTTAAACAGTGTGTGTAACACAATGTGTTTTGCGGTCGATGTGACTGATTTTGATAAGAGCAGGTCACATTTGTGTCTGCAGATGTGTCCTAATTCACCAAAAGTTAGCATGACTTAATGCCTCATTAGCATATTTAAGTCAGAAAACGTATTTGTGTTAATGTCAGTAATGAAGTGGGGAAGTTTGATTGCGATATCCGTTTGGTTTAATGTCTCTCTTCACCTGGAGTGTCTCACCTTTGCTACCTCTGTTACGTGGAGTATTGATCTACTTTGTGCGTTGGTAAAACTGCACCACAGCTTTCTCCTGCTCGTTGGTCTCGATTGATCCGCTTCTTAATCTCCGGATCTCGTTGATGGCGTCGATGCCCGACATCTTCCGGGTCTTCACCAGGTAGCAGGCGAGCATCGTGCCCGTCCTCCCGTGGCCGTGCATGCAGTGCACCGCCACACCCTGCAGGGGAAAAAACAACATGTATTTGGATATTATCTAAGAATATAGTCAAATTTACAAAAAACAAACAAATGTAAGACTAAAAAAACGTTACAGTATATTTTCTGAGATTATAAAGTCATACATTTGGAAAAAAAAATAGACTTTCTCTAAGATTTGAGTCAAGATAAACTTTTTGTAGGTGGATCCAACATTGGGAAGTGAATTTTCCTTTTCTTTAAAACAAAAACAATTCTTGAATTGGCCCTAATACTTGAACATAAAAAAAAAAACTTTTGATTCATCCACTTTGGAGAAGCAAGGTTTTTCCGTTCACTGCTCCAGGAGTTTAATCAAAGTCACGTTCCCTTGATGCCAAAAGTTTTAGGTTTCAGTTCTTGGACTTAAACCTGGTTGGAGCTGAAAACACTTTCAAAACATAACCATCCATCACATCTCTGCTCTCACCTCCCCCTTGGAGTTGGCCTCCTCCACGATGGAGAGGAATCTGTCGATCTGAGCGGGAGACGGAGGAGTGAAGTCCTGGATCTTGATGTGGTGCAGCTGCAGCTCCGGACAGGTGTCGTGGTTCGGGGGTTTCGTCTCACACAGACACACCAGGTGTTTGATGTTGTTCTCCAGCAGGTAGCGGTACTCACCCGGCATCCTGGGCAGCGCCAGGCCGGCCACTTTATCCTGATCCACCCAGGAGAAGTTGTGAGGAGCAGAGGCCATGACTGTCAGACTGAGAAGAGGAGGGAGGATAATTTACACCAAAACGCTATTAATAAATATGATTTACACCTAATAAAACCGAGGAAATATGCAAAGAGAAGTTGGCATAAAAAACGGATTCTCACTGTCTTATAGCACACATGGAAAATAAAAAAGCAGCATAAAAAATGTTTAGAGTGCTCAGGGTATTTGTGAAAGCTGCTAATAATTGTATCTAGCTTTGACGTTTTGTAAGATCACATAATACTAATAATGTGTTAACATAAACACAGTTAGAGAAGATACATTGAAAGAAAAACAACAACAAAAACTATTATAAAAAGTTATTATAACAGTAAAATATAGAGCAATATGAACATGAAATATAGATATACCAAAAAACTACGTATAGTATAATATGACAATATAAATATATATAAATGTGAAGTGATATTATGAAAGCCTTGCCGATATTAAAAGAGGTAGGCTATCTTAAGTGCATTACTTGAGTAAATGTAGTTTACATTCCACCACTGCACAGGCCTGATGTGAAAATAAGATTCACCAAATAACACATAGTTTACAGGAATCTTTTAATAATAATAAAATAGCATTTAGCTTAAAGTTAGCTAAAGTTTCGAGACGCTCGGCTGACTGACAGAAGCCACACCGGCTAACATGCTAACCAAGCAAACGGTAGCCTAACTGAAGCCATTCATTGCCTCTTTAGTATTAAACTACACAACCACATTAATGCTGAGAGTCTCTTTCAAACTAACCACACCCTTACTCACCGTTTTCACTGAGAAGAATGGAGGTTGCGCTATTTGTGAAGCTGGGTGCTAACCAGCTAAGCTAACTGCTACTTCTATGCTAAATGAGACAAACAGGAAATTAGCTTAAGCATGCTAACTGCCACAGTAGACATTCGTTACATAACACACCAGCGCCCTTTAACCCGAGGTAGCATTTCAGCTGTTATAATAGACAAACTATGCAACTGATGTTCGTGGTGACGTATTCAAATAGACCCGGAAGATGGCCGCCACATGTCAGGATGGCCTCTGGAGGCGTGGGTTCGAATCCCACTTCTGACAACAACCTTTTATTTTTCACCTAAATACATGTTGTGGTGTTTATTTTACGTGTACAATTGGGGTATGGGTATTTAGTGATGAGTAAAGTCTTGTATTCCCATTTAAGGAGAGTATTCTTACTTCATGATAGTGAAATCGGTATATTTTAACTACACTGTACACGTGAAAGCCACATTAGAGATGTGAGTTAAAATTAGCAATAGCAATACAACTCTGTGCAGGACATTAGTTTCATGTGCCGTGTTCAAATTATCATTCCTATCAAATTAATGTATGTATAAGGTGTGTAGAATCATCAAAAATGTCAATAAGGAAACACATAAATATGTTAGTCTTTACTAATAATGTCAGATAAACATGAAGTGCAATTTCACGCAAAATACTGCAGAGGGCGTAACAAGCCCTGCAAAAGAAACTGAACCATAAAAGCTCTATCTGGAAAGAAAACACAGTAACAAGCTGCTGTTTGGGTTGTATTGTGCAACCACATCAAAACCAGAACATTATGTTTTAATACTAGGGGAGAGTAATGCTTTCAAGGATTCCAAATACTGTTTGTTTGGGTGAACAAAGACAGTTTAAGAAAGTTATAGTTTGTTTGTGGTAAGGTTTTTGTGTTAGTGTAAGTAAGTATAATACCACTTCAATGAAGAATTTCAAAATGCAAATACTGAATATGTATGTGATAGTGTCAGCGTTTATCCCTTTATAAATGATAAGAAAACTATTAGGGTCCTTTTGGGTAAATCGTTGCATTATAATGAGGGAGCTTGGCTTAACGTTTCCTAGATGAATATAAACAATTATAGAAAAATGAATATTCTCTGATAGAGTGATTTGGTGCTTTTAATTTCCCCCAACCAGATTTGATTTTCCGATACTTGGATCTAACCGATGACCTTATGCTCACAGGAAGGACTAGAAAGATCTACAAAATGCACAAAAATTATGATAAATAACCTAATAGAAATAATCTAAAGTAAGCAGTGTGACAGGATGCTCGTCCATAAACACAATAGCAGCAAAATGTCAATCGCTAAGAAACTACAACCGGTCATGAAAAATAAGACACATGGCTGATCACCCAATTAAGGTTCAACAGGCACACCTAAAGTCCTAGACAAAAACCCCAAACCGGGCAAAAACAAACATATAAGGCACATATAGCCACCACTAAACTAATAGCGAATACACGGTACAAAAACATATATTAAACTTACCAAGATCCGTTCGAAAAGGGAAAAGTCCTTATCCATTTTCTGCGGTTTAAAATAGTTCAAGGACACAATAAAAGCTGTATTTAGATCCGTTTCTTCGGGCATTGCGCATTAAAACGAACAGAAAGCTAAGTAAACAGTCTCTAAACTACATCTAAAACGTCTGGAAAGAAAGTTTAAATAATTACAAAACCGTGAACTTTGTTTAAGCTAATCATGTGCTAACAGCTAACCAGTTTAACTTCACTTAAAGTGGACCTATCATGCTATATTTAAATGATATATTGTAGGGCCATACCTATATAAGGTATATTTATACGTTTCTGTTTTCAAAATACCAAACAGATCATGCATTTTAGCCATGCCTCATTTCGCTCTATGTGCTGTTTGCTGTCTACGGGGCTGATTCTGTGAGCTGCAGCTGACCACGCCCCCCTGCAGGAGAGGGGAGCCATGCTCTGATCAAGTCAAGAGGGGGAGAAAAAGGATCTTCGTCCTCCGTGTTTTATTATATTGTTATAGGCCTATAGAGTCGTTATTCATTTGTTTTAAAGCTCAATAAATAACAAAGAAGACCTTTGACCGGCACTTTTCTAATTTTGTCCGGAAGATTTCAACTTTAACGGACATCTTGACCGGCGAAAGAAACTGAAACTGAAACTCTGCCGCACGGTCCCCTCGTTCCTTGGAAGAGGCGGAGAGGTGGGTGTTCGTCATCTGCTGGTGGACTAACCGGAGAGAATTACAGTGCTTGCCTCGACGGGGAGGGATTGCATTGAATTAAAGCAGCAGGAGCAAACGCTTGCCTCGGGGAGGGAGAAAGAAAGCCACAGCGGAGAATAAACAGAAGGGTAACCATGGTAACTATGGGCGGGAAGTCTTCTTCGCTGCTTTTGTGGCAGACTACAGCGCCACTTACAGGCCTGGCATATGTACTACAGCGTCTCCAGCGCTTTCGAGCGGAAATGGCCGGCCGTGGCCCAACCCCACATTCCCCTGATAGGTGGAGAGTTGGCCCAATAGCCGTAGCGCCACTTTACTGACGTCAGGACAGTGTTCAAATCTGGATCAGTTGCAGCCCCTTTTTTAGAGATTTGGGTATGGAGGAAAATAGAGAGGGTTGTGTTTTCTGACACTTGGTGAGTTCCCTGGAACACCGGGGACACATATTCATGTATAAAGGACGTACAAAAGTGCATTTTGCATGATAGGTCCCCTTTAAGTTAACTGCCGTTCTGATCACGCGCTGATCACGCCACACCGAAGAATAATCACGCAGGCAGCTCGGCCAGCCATTGGCTCCGGCGTGTCAAAGGTTACGCCCATCATGGCAACCTCGAAGCCGATTGGTTAAGAGGGGATGTTTTACCTAGCAACAACACAGGGTGGAAATCTGATTGGATAAAAACTCAAATTTTGATGAGTTCCTTCAAAATCAGCACGTGAAGGCTGAAAGTAGCAAAATGTGTGTTTAATTATATTAAATATAATCTTATGAAAAAATTAACACTGTTTTCCCAAGTCTTTCCCTGTAAATGTGTGACTTTTTATCCGTTTAATATATATATTTTCTTTCATAAATGTATTATTTTTGATGGAAATGTATTTGTTTTTTTGTCACAAATGTATGACTTAGTTATCTAAGAGAATATCCATGTTTTTGTATATACTTACACATTTACAACCTTAATCTCTGAATCTTTTTTCTGAATCTTATTATATATTATAATGAAAATTATTCTATTTCGCATTGTCCCTAATATGTGGTTGTAGAAACACAAGGAAATATTTGTACAGTTTTTAAGTGTGCTGCATACATAATTATTATCATCAAAACCAAATATTTACCCAAACATCTGATCCCTCTTATCATCTAATTAGCATATTTGTTATTCCTCAATGCAATTCTTCAACTTGTCCCCAGCTTTATTTATATGTGAGAGATGTCCTTGTTGAGTCGTCTTGAATCATTCTGGTTTTTAATACGTTTTGGCACCTCCACATGGAGCCTGTTTCATACAATCTCCACATGAAAGGAAAAAGAGAAGTTTGTCCATTTCATGCAGAAAGTTAAAGATACAAACACAAACATCCAGACCTCACAGCACAGCACAGTTTACTTGCTAGTCAGTTTTATACAAACAGTAGAAAGAGGGTTTTGTTTCTAAGGGAGACAAACTGCATCACATTTTGCCAGATAGATGTTGATATACACGAAGAAGAAGAAGAAAAACAAACGTTTCCCATTAAAAAAGCTTCCACTAACCTGTTGTAAAAACAAAAAACATCAGTTTCACGTACAGTTATAGAAAGATATCTATAGGTAAACGTAAAAAAACATGGTGGCGTGTAGTTTTAGTTAGCCACCGACAACAAAACAGAAACATTTGGAAGTCCAGAAAAAGAACCACGATATATATTTATTCTTATTTTATCTATTTTTTGTACACATCACAACCTGAAGACTCAGTAGGTTGTCCATCATCGTCATCATCTTCCTCTTTGTGTCATCTAAAAGCACAGACCCTTCAACATGCTGCAACAACACCCCTCAAAAAACCACAATCACAACCCTTTAACGTTACATGTAAACTCTTAAGGTGCCGCTCGAGAACAGGAGGGGGGGGGGCAGTGAACGCCTCGCCCTCCTACTAGAAGATTTCTACGTTATTCTGAACGTCCACGTTCAAAAGTCCCACGAGTGACCGGGTTTTACAGGATGGCACAGAAGAACTTCTTCTCCCGGAACGGGTTCTCCGAGGCGGGAACCGGCGACAGCAGAGGGTCCTCTTTGGCGTGAGCTTCGCAGTACGACATCAGGTCCGCCGCCGCTTTAGACACCTTTGGGGGACAAAAACATGAAATAAGTCAGCTGGATCATCGAAAAATCACAAGACTGCATCAATTACTTTTCCTGGAATTTTCTTTAAATGTTTCCTTTTTTTCTCAGAATGTTTTTTTTTATTTGACTTTTTTTCTAAAATGTACATTTCTTTCTCAGAATTCAGGATTTTTTTCTCAGAATTGACTGTTTCCTCTAAATTCTGACTTTTTCTCCCAAAAATTCGGAAGTTTTTCAAACATTTTTCATGACTCTTTATCTTATAATTCTGATTGGAGAATACCAACACATATTCTAATTCCTTACAGTAGTTGGCGACCTATTCACATATTAGGTTTCTACATTAACCGTTGAGGCATGAGAGAATGAGGTAACACTGGGGGGAGTAACTGATATGAGGATGTTATTGGGGGTGAAGTTTCCCTTTTTAAAGCAAAATAATTTTCATAGCGGATGTGTGTGTGTCACCTTTATCCTGTCGATGTTGGCCTCCATCTTCAGCTGCTCCACCAGCTTCCTGGCCTGAGCGATGCTCGCCGTGTTGTTGCTCGCCATGAGCGCCTCGGTGTGATTCCTTTTCTCTGCCTATAGACACAGAAATACACCCCGGATAATCAGTCAGCATTATGAGTCCAAAAAAACAAGAAATTAGTCATCAACATTGAGTTCTAAAACACTCAAATGAGTTAGCATTATGAGTCTTAAAATGTTATAATGCTAAAACCCGGAAATTAGTCCTGAAACCCTGAAGTAATTTGACCTTATGGGTCCTAAAATCGAAATATTAGTCAGCATTATGCGTCCTCAAACCCTGACATGAATAAGCATTAGGATAGCATAGGTACTAAAACACTCAAATGAGTCAGCATTATGATTCCTAAAATTCAAAAATTAATGAACTTTCACAGATGTTATGTTTGCAATAAACTGAAATGCAATGGAGAATTAATCCTAACTTCAGGAAAAACTACACAAAGGTTTCTATTATTTATTCAAGTTCACCCCCAGTGTGACACTGACAGAGACCAGCAGCACTACACGCTTGGAAAGAGGAAACACACACTTTCAAACACACACATGCAAACAAGCACACACACACACACACACACACACACACACACACACACACACACACACACACACACACACACACACACACACACACACACACACACACACACACACACACACACACACACACACACACACACACACACACACACGCTATTTATGCTGTCAGTTGCTAGGCAGCTTGTGACAATGGGGGTGCAGTTCTTTGTCCAGCACCATATTTCATGTCTAAAGCACACATTGCTAACTCATATCAGTAAAAGAGAACTCGAACTCTGAACAGGTAATGGTGATTTTTTTTAAAAAGCTAACTCGTACATTTTAGCACTAGCTTTAGCTAAATTGCATATTAACATTATTACAAAGTACAATCATCTAGTAAATGATGGTGTTTTACCACAGGTTAAACTACCATGCAAATGATAAAGACACTTTTGCATTAAGAATTCAAATTTTACAAAACATACACTTTTTTGAAGAGTTTTTCTGCAGAATTATTGGTTTTAGTAATGTAAGTATAATTCAATGTATTCATGTTTTCCTTTAACCTGTCCCCAGTCGGTTCCAGGTGTGTGTCCTCATGTGCTCTGTGTCTGTCTTTGATTAAATGGATCAAGTGTGTGTGTGCACAGTGTGTGTGTGCACAGTGTGTGTGACTCAGTGTGAGTTCAGGTAAATGAAGCCGAGCTCAGCGTGAATATTGAAGCTTCACGCTGACTCACCTGCTGCTGCACTGATCACCTGAACAGCGTTTACCTGCACGGCTACACCTGTTTCACTTTATAATTATATATATATTAGTGTCTGTCAACAGATGCACCAGCAACATCTGACAAAATGGGATTATATATACAGTTTTTAATCTTTACTCCCCTACCTTCCACATACTTTACAAGATTACAAAAACTGAAAATTAAAATGTGCAAGAGTGAATACAATAATAAAGGGGTTGTCTGACAAAAAAACATAATGCAAAATAATATTTTTTCTAGTAGAGACACTACATACTGATATACACCTGAACATCAGCAGGAGAGGACTCTTTAAAGTAGACACTACATACTGATATACACCTGAACATCAGCAGGAGAGGACTCTTTAAAGTAGAGACACTACATACTGATATACACCTGAACATCAGCAGGAGAGGACTCTTTAAAGTAGAGACACTACATACTGATATACACCTGAACATCAGCAGGAGAGGACTCTTTAAAGTAGAGACACTACATACTGATATACACCTGAACATCAGCAGGAGAGGACTCTTTAAAGTAGAGACACTACATACTGATATACATCTGAACATCAGGAGGAGAGGACTCTTTAAAGTAGAGACACTACATACTGATATACACCTGAACATCAGCAGGAGAGGACTCTTTAAAGTAGAGACACTACATACTGATATACACCTGAACATCAGCAGGAGAGGACTCTTTAAAGTAGAGACACTACATACTGATATACACCTGAACATCAGCAGGAGAGGACTCTTTAAAGTAGAGACACTACATACTGATATACACCTGAACATCAGCAGGAGAGGACTCTTTAAAGTAGAGACACTACATACTGATATACACCTGAACATCAGCAGGAGAGGACTCTTTAAAGTAGAGACACTACATACTGATATACACCTGAACATCAGCAGGAGAGGACTCTTTAAAGTAGAGACACTACATACTGATATACACCTGAACATCAGCAGGAGAGGACTCTTTAAAGTAGAGACACTACATACTGATATACACCTGAACATCAGCAGGAGAGGACTCTTTAAAGTAGAGACACTACATACTGATATACACCTGAACATCAGCAGGAGAGGACTCTTTAAAGTAGAGACACTACATACTGATATACACCTGAACATCAGCAGGAGAGGACTCTTTAAAGTAGAGACACTACATACTGATATACACCTGAACATCAGCAGGAGAGGACTCTTTAAAGTAGAGACACTACATACTGATATACACCTGAACATCAGCAGGAGAGGACTCTTTAAAGTAGAGACACTACATACTGATATACACCTGAACCTCAGCAGCAGAGGACTCTTTAAAGTAGAGACACTACATACTGATATACACCTGAACATCAGCAGGAGAGGACTCTTTAAAGTAGAGACACTACATACTGATATACACCTGAACATATAGTTTTTCTACATTAATACTTTGACATACAGCATGAGAGGTAATAGACCCGCATACCATTCCTTGTCATTTTATCTTCAGTATTTATTTAATTCACACGTTTTTAGGAGACCTTTTCTCCGGGGCGGTCTGGATAATCTCGACCTGTCAGAGCGAGCAGTGTGAGGATTTTAAGAGCTGTGAATGTTAACAGAGTAAAATAAATATTATGATTGAAAGTAATCCTGGTTGTTCTCAATGTAAAGATGTATTTTTTCCTTTAAGGTTCAGGTTCAGGTTCAGGTTCTGGTTCTGGTTCTGGCTCTGGCTCTGGTTATTTATTGGACATTTTTTCTGACATTTTACTGGGATTTTTTGGGCATGTTAGTAATATTTTAGAAAGATTTTTCCGAAAGATTTTCCTGAAAGATTTATAAATATTTTGAAAAACCTTTTCTGACACTTAAAATTAATTTGTGGCTTTTACAATTATTATAATTTTTTTTTTTTTTATGTTCTGAGATTTTAATATATCTCTCACATTTTACTTTTATTATTTGGACATTTTATTAAGACATTTTGAACATTTTAGCGATACCAACAGTAACATTTCTACTACATTTTGTGGTAATTTAAAGTGGACCTATCATGCTATATTTGAATAATATAGTGTAGGACCATACCTATATAAGGCATATTTATACTTTTTTTTTTTCAAAATACAAAACATCATGCATTTTAGCCATGCCTCATTTCGCTCAATTTGACTTTTTTTTAGCTCTGTTTGTGTAAGGGCAGATAAGTGCAGAACAGCACCATCTACTGGCCTGGCATATGTACTACAGCGTCTCCAGCGCTTTCGAACGGCAATGGCCGTGGCTGTCTCCTCCTGATTGGTGGAGTTGGCCCAATAGCCGTAGAGCCACCGTCCTGACGTCAGGACAGTGTTAAAAATCTGGATCAGTTTTTATCAGATCCGTTGCAGCCCCCATTTTTAGAGATTTGGGTATGGAGGAAAATAGAGAGGGTTGTGTTTTCTGACACTTGGTGAGTTCCCTGGAACACCGGGGACACATATTCATGTATGAAAGACGTACAAAAGTGCATTTTGCATGATAGGTCCCCTTTAAGTAATAATTGTTTCGTCATATTAGTAACACTTGTAACTGTAGTTGGAGTAAAACTGAACAATCTGGAGGAGGTGTTGGAGGGGAGCACGAGGAAGACGAGGAAGAAGCACAACCAAGGGTTAACCATGTAACCCATTAAAAGTAACCCGCAGTGCACATACATACAATCTGCACTGTTTTGTAATTGTTTGTACAAATACCTGCACTGACATGTAAATATATCTAACAATCTGAACCCAAATATGTATATGTTCATTCAACGGTATTATATCTTACCAAGTGTGAATCTGAAGTGTCCTGTTTTTCACTCTCACTCTGTTGCTGCTCTAACTCCAGAATGTGGGGGTGAAGACAGCCTAAAATACACCTCTTTATTGGAAACCCTCAATAGAAGCTTTTGAATGTGAGAAAAATTGACATTTGCCGCCGTATAAAGGAGGTTATAAGATATTTAGCAGCGCTTTCTCTGAGTCTGCAGAGTCATCTTCCTCTTGTTGTCAGAGCAGTGACGGGAAAGGGCAGCCTGACATTTTCACATCATCACAGCAGGGAGGAGAGCTGCAACCTTAAACAGTTCAACCAACAATAAGAGAGTCAACTGTTTCCTGTGGTTTACTGGTTGCTGTATTTCTCTATCAGGAAGGTTCAGACGAGAGTGAAAGTCTCTGAGCTGCAGACATGATCAGAGCTCTCTGGATGATAGGAAAGGAGCTTCATTTGTTATCTCCTTTAGGAAACACTGGACCTTCCTTATTTATGTATTGAGGAGTTTGGACGTTGTACCATGGAAGATGCTGTTGCAATAGTCTAATGGCGCAGTTCCACTACAGCGCGGAGCTCGCTTTAAGCGTGCCGTGTCGTGCCGTACCCGTTTTTGGTTGCGCTTCCACTAGGCCTAGTTACGGCCCGGCCCGGGGCCACTTTTTCACCTCTTTTCTGGCCCGACAAAATTGTGGTTCTATCGGGGCCAACAAACAGGGCTGAGTCGGGCTGAGTATGCTAAACTAGAGAGAGGAGCGCTGGCAAGAGGGCTCCAACTACAACAAGATGGACATATTTGACCGTGATTTAATTGTAATACACGTTTCAAAATGATGCCGAAGTAACAACATACTGATACCGGTTAGTAAAAACCATGAATTAATGCTTTGTCAAGTCTGCAGACAGACGGCAGGCGAAAAACCTTTTAAAATTCGTGTTTTTCTAGATGGAGATTGGCTAAGCTAACGCAGTGTATGCCCCGACCGTCCACACTCACAACAACGGCCTACAGACATAAATAAAGCAGCGACTGTATTCACCATGACACAGGCAGTCTGTGGTTTGTACTTGTTTAACTTTTGTCTAGTTTCTGAACATATATGAGGAGCTGTGAGCTCTGAGTGCTAACAGCTAACGGCTGTGTTGTGTTTTCTGGAGTTCTCATTGAAGATGACGTCACGGCTCCGCCTACACTGCGTTACTATAGTAACTACCCCAGTTCCTAAACTGTAATGGAAGCGCAGCATGAAGTGAGTCGGCCCTGTTAAGGCCCAACGCGGCCAAGCCGTACCGAGCCGTACCGAGCGTGGCCGAGGCCGACCGTGTAGTGGAAATGCGGCATTAAGCACATGTGTCAAACTCAAGGCCCGGGGGCCAAATCAGGCCCTTGGTGGATTTAATTTCGGCCCGCAGGATAATTTCTAATTACTATTAGATCTGGCCCTCCGGTATATTGCACGCACACCTTCACTCAATGCTGAGGGTCTCCTCCGCTCAGAGCCTGACCCCAAACATTGATGACCTTGCACCCAAGATGAGATGCCAAGTATCTGGCTTGAACTAGCATCACAGAGCAGCACACTAAGTTTACATGGATGTTTCCTTCTGCACTTTTTCTCTCACGACAACAGGGCATGTTTGGTTTTTTCTTTGAGGGGAATAGTTTTTTTGAAGCTGTTGTTGGCCTGTGGAAAAATGTGATCATAAGAAATGACTCAGATAGCAGATAGAGCCATAAGAAATGACTGCAACTGATTATTTCATGTTTAATGTTGTTTTTATAGGCAATCATTTAAGCTTTGTTAGTTCCAGGTTTAATATGTGCAATAAGTTCATTTCAATAAGTTTTGCAATAAACATTGAACCAGTCCGGCCCTCCACTAGTACCCATTTTTAAATTTTGGCCCACTGTGTATTTGAGTTTGACACCCCTGGTCTAATGGTATGATATACGTCTTAATAACCCCTTCCCTCTCATCATAATGAGACCACCAGTGGTCAGTGCAGTCTCTTTTCCTGAGTCCTGATGACTCCTCCTTCACTTCTTTACAAACCACGTCACGTTTCCCACTGAGGTTAAGGAATAGTGAATATAGGAAGACACAAAGGACATTATCTTTTTTACCACATATACTTTCCCCTCCTCCTCTGTACATCATCATGAAGCCTTCTTCTTATCTGTCAGCACCCCAAAATACCTCCAGAGAGTTTGACACGTGGTGTGAACATGCTGGTAAAGGTGACATCCCGCTGAAAATAATACTATATATATATATATATCATTTAAAGCATGCTCCGCTCACCTTGTGTTTGCTCCTGTCTGCAGGTCAGTCAGCACTTTGTCTCTGCACAGCTTTCTGCAAACAGAAACAGAGAAGAAGAGAATCAAGAGGCTGCTCCTGCTTCCACTTTATATATAAACAGTGTATGTGCATCCCTTATACACTTATCACACAGACTCTCATGTCTGCTACACGAAGGAGAAACACCAAAACTAACCACAGAAGAAGAAGCAAGTGAAGCTCAGTTCAGGGGAAGAAGCAGGAATATATTATCAGATTGGGGAATGTGACTTTTAGGCCAAAAAAAAGTGCTGTTTCTTGGCCAGGAATAAAATCGGGGGGGAAATTGGGTTGCTGTGTTTTAGAATAAAATACAATAATACTTTTTTTTTTAGATAAACATAAGAAGTCAAAGGAAAAATGTGCTTTAAAAAAAAATGAAACGGAATAATATTTATATAAGCAAAATGTGCGATAAAAGGATCAAATTAAATGAATAAGAAATTGAAAAAATATGTACATAAACAAATAAATAAAATAAAAATGACGTGCAAAAAAATAGAACGTGTGTTATATCCCAAAAATAAATAATGTGCAATTAAAGGATAAAATAAAATACAAATATTTCTAAAATCATAAGAAGTTAAAGTTAAAATGTTTAATAAAAAAATACAAATAAACAGAATAGATATATGTATATTAACATTAGAAGTTTAAGTAAAAACGTGCAATACACTTTTTGGAAATAATAAAACAACTCTCTGAGCTCCAGATGTGTTTTGATGCTTCTGTGATTCTGCAGCTGTTTTCCTGCAGCTCTGATAAATGGGACGTTTCCTCTGCTTGAGCTGATCTGCAGACGAAGGGAAATCCAGCCGCCGTAAATCTTGTCAGGATGTTTAAGCATCGTTAAATAAAACCTCGCCAGCAGCAGGAAAATAAAACCTGTGTATTTCAACTGAAACTGCTCAGAGTTTAGAGAACAGACGCAAGAAAAGCAGATCAGCTCATGAGAGACATTTATGAACCTATAGAGATGAATTTAACCATATTATTGGCTGCTTTACAAGACAAAATAAACATATTTAAATAAATTAAACTTATTAAATACTGAACAGTGGTATTTTTTACAATTTTAGACCAATACAATAGATTTACAAATATGTGAATATCCTTATTAAAATGATCGTGAAATGAAATTGTACTAAAATACAATCATGCGAATAAAATAATATTTTTGTGCTAAGTTGAAAATAAAATGAACTCACAAATTCCCTGAACGTCTTCCTAAATGGTTTTTCCAGAGAGACCTGGGAGGCATTCAGGCGTCTTTTAGATAATATGTAAAACACAGTATTGTTTACCTTTCCCTCTGACAGACAGGAAACAAGTCATGTGACCTGCAGCATGTGACTGTCATCCGGCTCATCACTCATCTTCAATTACACTAAACTTTACTGCTCTCTGTTTACGGCTCCTGATAGACACTACATACTGATATACACCTGAACATCAGCAGGAGAGGACTCTTTAAAGTAGAGACACTACATACTGATATACACCTGAACATCAGCAGGAGAGGACTCTTTAAAGTAGAGACACTACATACTGATATACACCTGAACATCAGCAGGAGAGGACTCTTTAAAGTAGAGACACTACATACTGATATACACCTGAACATCAGCAGGAGAGGACTCTTTAAAGTAGAGACACTACATACTGATATACACCTGAACATCAGCAGGAGAGGACTCTTTAAAGTAGAGACACTACATACTGATATCCACCTGAACATCAGCAGGAGAGGACTCTTTAAAGTAGAGACACTACATACTGATATACACCTGAACATCAGCAGGAGAGGACTCTTTAAAGTAGAGACACTACATACTGATATACACCTGAACATCAGCAGGAGAGGACTCTTAAAGTAGAGACACTACATACTGATATACACCTGAACATCAGCAGGAGAGAACTCTTTAAAGTAGAGACACTACATACTGATATACACCTGAACATCAGCAGGAGAGGACTCTTTAAAGTAGAGACACTACATACTGATATACACCTGAAACATCAGCAGGAGAGGACTCTTTAAAGTAGAGACACTACATACTGATATACACCTGAACATCAGCAGGAGAGGACTCTTTAAAGTAGAGACACTACATACTGATATACACCTGCACATCATCAGGAGAGGACTCTTAAAGTAGAGAATAAAAAACCCACTGGTGGATTAAAACGCTCAACATTAGCCTCCTTTAGCTTAGCGGTGGTGATGTGAAGTCATGTGACTGTGCTGTAGTTCCTTAGCAAACGTTAGCATTTTTACTTCAGAAATCATAAAGTGGTGTTAATATGTGGAGATTGTCCTGCTGAACAAAAATGTTAAGTATCATAAACGTTTGTCAAAAGTTGCTTTATGTAAGAGGCCTGTGTTTTCTCCTTCCTCGACCCCCAGTGTGCAGACAGGTGTCGTCCTGCTGCGACACCCACCTGAATCAATGACCCCCCCCCCATTCTTCCTCTGACATTTAGACGCGATGCTGACTTCAAAGGGTGATTAAGCGCTGTATGCAACATCCTTTTGTGGGAAATATAATTCCTAGCCTGTTGAGAGTAATGATTTAAAGGCCACCTATTATGCAACGTCCACTTTTTCATGTCTCTTCTACATCAACATGTGTCCCCCTCTTCTTCATGTCTCTTCTACATCAACATGTGTCCCCTCTTCTTCATGTCTCTTCTACATCAACATGTGTCCCCTCTTCTTCATGTCTCTTCTACATCAACATGTGTCCCCTCTTCTTCATGTCTCTTCTACATCAACATGTGTCCCCTCTTCTCCATGTCTCTTCTACATCAACATGTGTCCCCTCTTCTTCATGTCTCTTCTACATCAACATGTGTCCCCTCTTCTTCATGTCTCTTCTACATCAACATGTGTCCCCTCTTCTTCATGTCTCTTCTACATCAACATGTGTCCCCTCTTCTTCATGTCTCTTCTTCATCAACATGTGTCCCCTCTTCTTCATGTCTCTTCTTCATCAACATGTGTCCCCTCTGTGTAAAGAGACTCTGAAAGTCTCAGGAACAAAGATTCTCTCTCTTTTTGTCCTGATCCATTTCTATAAAAACCTGTCTGAAAATGAGCTGATCAGATTTTGGCCACTTTATGATGTCATAACGATGTTTTGGCTTGTGTAACCATTAGCCAATCACCAACCTAGGTAACCCCCCCCCACCCACCTTATCACCTGAATCTCCTCCTAGAGCACCATTGTGTTCTTTGTAACCAAATCTCTCTCAGAGGGGCGTGGGGAGGGGCTCCTTATTTTCATCTAAAGTAACAGACAGAGAATCAGCACTTTGGAAACAGGGCTGAAACAGAGGGGATTATGGGTAATGCTGCAATGATCTGTTTGGTGTTTGGAGCCAAACACTTCAGAGACATGTTTTGTATATATCTGAGACCTGTAATGTATTGAGGAAAAACAGGATAATAGGGGACCTTTAAACACCCCTCCCCTCTTTCTCTCTCTGTAGCACACTTTATCCACATAACTTTTATTTTTAGACCGACCATAGAGGTGAATTAAGGCTCGAGGCAGGGAGTGATGCGGGCGGAGTGAAATCAGAGCGTGGTAATTATAAAACTGTCCCCAGATCAGCCATCTGGACCCCGGAGAGACTAGATTAACCTGGAAGGGTCTGCAGGGACAAGAGGGACCCAGGAGAAGTTTGGAGGACAGATAAACCCTGAGACCCCTTTTAGTTACAGTGGAGTTGGCAGATTTACCATTCACAAATATTCAAACAATGGAAAATGCGTTCAGCCAGCCACTGTTGGGATTTTTACTGAAATAACTAAAGTAACTGCAGCTTTAATGTCTCTAGTTTAGCGTTTTAAACCGTTGCCATCAACAGAAATGTCACAATACGTAATAAAAAACATAACAGATCATTATGGGGACTATAAATGGACGACTACGTTAAGTTGACCTGTCAATCACAGGTACTGTAGCCCCGCCCAAAAACAATTTACAAAATGAACATCATGCTGTGTTGAAGAAGACTTGAAACTAGAGATTGAGACCACAAACTTAACGGGAAAATGTTTACCGAGGTCATATATCAAGTGGAAAGTAGCGTAATTTTCTCATAGACTTCTATACAATCTGAAGTAATAAATCAAGAGAGAAGTAGGAACATTTTCTCATAGACTTCCATACAATCTGAGGTAACAAATCAAGAGAGAAGTAGGAACATTTTCTCATACACTTCTATACAATCTGAGGTAACAAATCAAGAGAGAAGTAGGAACATTTTCTCATAGACTTCCATACAATCTGAGGTAACAAATCAAGAGTGTAGTAGGAACATTTTCTCATAGACTTCTATACAATCTGAGGTAACAATCAAGAGAGAAGTAGGAACATTTTCTCATAGACTTCCATACAATCTGAGGTAACAAATCAAGAGTGTAGTAGGAACATTTTCTCATAGACTTCTATACAATCTGAGGTAACACATCAAGAGAGAAGTAGGAACATTTTCTCATAGACTTCCATACAATCTGAGGTAACAAATCAAGAGAGAAGTAGGAACCTTTTCTCATAGACTTCCATACAATCTGAGGTAACAAATCAAGAGTGTAGTAGGAACATTTTCTCATAGACTTCTATACAATCTGAGGTAACAAATCAAGAGAGAAGTAGGAACATTTTCTCATAGACTTCCATACAATCTGAGGTAACAAATCAAGAGTGTAGTAGGAACATTTTCTCATAGACTTCCATACAATCTGAGGTAACAAATCAAGAGAGAAGTAGGAACCTTTTCTCATAGACTTCCATACAATCTGAGGTAACAAATCAAGAGAGAAGTAGGAACATTTTCTCATAGACTTCCATACAATCTGAGGTAACAAATCAAGAGTGTAGTAGGAACATTTTCTCATAGACTTCCATACAATCTGAGGTAACAAATCAAGAGAGAAGTAGGAACCTTTTCTCATAGACTTCCATACAATCTGAGGTAACAAATCAAGAGAGAAGTAGGAACAT